GATCAATCAGAAAACCAACGGAAATACATCTTTCTCGTATTCTCAACATTCATACAGAGAATCGATGAACTCAACAGCGGAGCCAATTATGAACAGTTACATACCCGGAGAGACACGCAACGACTATATAACGAAACCTATGTACATACACAGGTGTGTACGGTAGAATTGTTCAAAAATAAAATGGTGGAACTCGACTTGCTCGCGACAAAGGGGCGAAGAAAACGCGGCAATAAACTGGCAAGGCAGATCGTTCTGGCTCGCGGTAAGTTTTAAACCGTCCTCGTCGATACTGTATGTACGTACGTACATACATAGCGTACGTATAAAAGACGCGTGGCGTCTGAGGAATACGAAGCCTACACTCTTGTGCACACCCGGCTCCTTCGCCACCCTCCGACGCGGCACATTATCTTGCCAGTTTGTACCAGGTGCAGCAGGGCGGAAACACGGCGGGTCGCGAAGGGGTTGGAAAGAAAAAGAGGAGGTACGCTTGGTACGACACGTAGGGTTAGGAGCGGGTGGATAAGGGGGGAGGTCCACCTACCCGCTCTGCTTTACATTTTATTGCTTGCCGTGAATTCGACCGATTTACATAAAGAGACGAACGCCCCCCCCCTCCCCCCTTCTCCCCCTGTCGCTCGGTTATTCACTCGGTGCCAGGAAAATCGCGAGACATACATACACAGAGTGGAGGAGAGAGACGCCTTTCAACAGCGAGCGATTTGCCCGATCTCTTGTCTCTTCCGTTGTTCCGTCGTCGTCGGGGTTCGCGCGAAATTTTCGCGAGGGGGTGGGGGTGGGGGGAGCGAGCGAAGTTAGGAGAGAGAGAGAGAGAGAGAGTTTGTCGTTGGTATCGTGGACAAAGTGCTCGACGAATCTCCCCCGGCACGCAGACTATGCGAAACTTGAACGTGACGTGACGTGGCCGATAGAGAGAAAGGGGGTGGAGAGAGAGAGAGAGAGAGAGAGGGGCGCGTGGATGGGTGGAGCCCCTGAAAACGGGGATCGAATTCATGACGAAAGGCAATTTCGTTTCTGGCCGTCGTTCGGCGACTGAAATTTAATTAACCGACGGACACAACCTGGCCGATTTTCGCTGGGAATCGAGCGAACATCAAAGCTCCAGGGTCGTCTCTCTCTCTCTCTCTCTCTCTCTCTCTCTCTCTCTCTCTTTCTTTTTCACTCCGCCCGCCGTTCTCCACCGACGTAAATAGATCCCAGTAATTGCTATTAAGCGATCGACGAGCCGGTAATTGCTCTTTTCGGCCGCGGGATAAGAAATTATTCAACGGAAACTGGTTAAGCTGGTTTACCGGGGGAAAACGCGGGACGGACGATCGCGGGATTTTGGAATATACTCGACAAACGTTTCGATGCAACGTGGAAAGGGTAAAAGAGTATCTTAAATTTCTATTTAGTTGGTTCTTTTTGTATCATCCAGTGACATTGTTACGACTTTTCCCGGGTGCGATTACGAGTCTTTAAAGAGGAGGCTTTGTCCGATCGATGAGGTCTTAATCTACTGTGTCATTAGTCTGGCTCACGGAAGTGTTCGAACGCTTGCAGAAATACGTTTTTCGCAAATATATTTTAATTGTTTCGTACGAAAGGTATTGAAAATTTATATATATATTATCGTGATTACATCGACGAAGGTTAAAACAAATCTGAAAATATATGCTATATGAGAGAATATTGCGTAGATAATGTACAAGAGAAAAAAACGTGAAGTCCATCTTTGTTGGTTCGGTAATTTTCCACAAAATTGAAAATCATGAATGATCACGAATGTGCAGGAAAACGACGAAAATTGGGAGACGAAAGGAAGATGTAGCATTTCCAACGAAATTAACTAAAATTAATTAACGACGTTGCTGAGTTTTCAAATTGCCTCGTAATACGAAGGACAATTGAAATAACAGGATATTTAGCGCGAGTGTATATTTCAATCACAAACGCGTTTAAACAGTCAATTATCCATTATATTAACCCTTATCGCTCCAACCGGCCGTAATACTGTCAAATGCAAGCTACGTTCTATTTCAACCGGCACTATTGCCGGAGTGATAAGGGCTAATAAACCTCAATATGCAGCGGAATCACCTTTAACGTTCCATGTATTTAAGAGTGTGCTCATGCTGCACGTACGCATAAAATAATATAAAAAAAAGGAACATACGCACATATGGCTTATAACTTTTATCTATATGCGTTTTCAAATTTGTTTCAACTTTTTATATCTTCGCAAACCTTAAATAGAAATTTGTTTCATCCGCTAATATATTACGAGAGATCGTCTCCATTAATATTAATAAATATAGTATTAATACTACATATAAACATATAATACTATAAATAAATATTATAAATAAACTATTATATATTATATTTATTTATATTATAATATTATACTAAACTATTATATTATAAATATATCATAAACTATAATAATATATTATATCATAATAAACTATTATATTATAAATATATTATAAACTATAATAATACATTATAATATTATGATAAACTGCAAATTATAATAATTTATTGTGATAAATATTCTGTCTCAAACATTGAACTCGACTCACGATTATGCCCGTCCCATCATTCCGACCAATGAATTGAAAAAAAAAAAAAACACGCAGACGCAGCAACGTAACGCGATTTCAATGTAATCAGAAGCATTGATAACGTGATTACGTGTTAACGACTTTTTAATTGTCGGCGGGAAAATTCGCGGACCATTCTCCGACGTAGCATAAAAGAAGCGATTATAAATTGTTCCGAAGCACCTGTCCTCGGGACGGTTACGCGGTGGAAATTTATATTGTCCGGCCCGTGTAATTAATTTCATTTAAGGGAAATTCAGGAAAGCAAATATAACGTAATTTCGCGGAAACAAAGGGAATTCTATTATCTTGGCGGTGTGTATCGCTTCCAAATGTCAGGACAGCTTTGTTCCCCGGTTTGATATAGTGCCAAGTATCCCAAGTAACTCTGTTAATCTACCCTTTTGCGTTCGCGCAACGCGTACGCGATTCTACACGAACTTGACCTTAATCGATTCTAAGTCTATCGACCTGGCCAGACGATACTCTAAGAACGTCGATGACATTACTTGCTTAGCACTTTTGATGTACGACTAAGATCTCAATTTGTCAAAGACACGCGTCATCGTTAAATACGTGGACACACCTGGATCTTTTGTACTGTATATGTACAGGTTGAAAGGAATATTCATGTTTATCTATTATAAATAAATTCTTCACACCTTCGATCTGAAAATATATAAAAAATATATAAAAAAGCTGCAAAGTTGATCTTGATCTTGAATTTCAAGGTCAAAATTTCTTTTTCTCTTTTGCATTGTGTTCTTGTATCGCGAAGGAACCTGATTGTTCTTTTGAAAAATGGCAGAGAAGTTTTTTAATCGTTTAACACCGCAGATGCGTGCGTTCTAACAGCGACTTTATGGTCCTGGACGCGTGGACGTTTATATTTCGAATAATGTTAATAGTTAGTTTTATCGTTTAATTATTTAGACTCACACTGATGTTACAACTATGATAGATCAAAGATTAGTGAAACCTAATGCGAAAATAATGTAAAATAGACATCCGCGCATAAAGTCGTTGTTAGTACGCACGCGTCCGTAATGATTAAGAAACTTTTTTTGCCATTTGTCAAGAGAACTTAGATTAGGTTAGGTTCTTTGGAAAAGTTTTTGGAACACAATGTAAAGGAAAGAAAAAGAAAATTTTTGAAATTTAAGATATATTTCCATCAAATCGAAAGTGTAGAATTCACCTGTGAGCAAACTTTTCTATTCACCCTGTATAATTAAATTAATAGTGACTAATATATTAGTCAAACTTTACGAGTCATAAATTATCAGCGCTAATAAATCTTATATACAGGATGTTCCATATGAAGTTATTCACGCAATTTTCTCTACAAACGAATAATTTAAGAGAACGTGCCTGTGGTAATGAATCAAACAAGATTTTACAAACAACAATTTCATAGATTGACGCACTCGTACAGTTTAAACAATGTAAACGTACATATATCCGAATTGTTTTCGTAAAGAGACAAGATTTACGAGTCGTGGAACGAGTTACTCAATTTCTCCTCGATTGAATAAATCTTGCACAATCTCGGACGTTTCTTTATAGACAGTTTAGTTATAAAGCGAGAATACTGTTACTCGCACATAGTTTATAAGGCGAGGATTTCGAGGAATTCTTGACACCGTTATATTGTCCGATCCAGAGAGGAAATTCCGAACATTTAGTAAAATATACCAGGGCATAAGGTATGTACATACATATATGACACGACGCCCGACTACGGAGCATATGAAAGGAATATGAGCCACAATGAAGATCGACGGAAACACGAATTATTAACACGTGCGCGTACAAACATCTCAGTAATTAATAAAACTCTATTAAAATTTTCGCATGTGCCTCAATTTCACCAAAAACCAAAAAAGAGAGAGAGAGAGAAACACTAAAACATCGAAGTACTCTGCACTTTTGCTCGTAAAACAGATATACATCTGTACGTACATCTAGTTTCCAAGCGAGAAAGCAAGGCACATCCCTCCTCTCCTCTTTGCCGCCCCGCTGTGTACGTCGTAGTTGTAACGAAGTAATCTCGCTTTAAGTGCTAAAAAATTCGTAACGAGATGAAAACTCACCAGTTGGCAAACCGGGATGTTTAAGCGTATGGCAGCGGTAAGCAAAACTCGGCAGATACATACATACATACATACATACATAGAGGCGGTGAAAGAAAGGAGGAGAGCGGCCGCGGCTGGCACGGTAATTCGTTAAAGAATCCTTTAATGTCGTGTTCGTTTCGCGTTTGCAATTTCCCTGGGAAAAATGTGCCGTGACCTGGCGCGCTAGTTACTTTTACTTCGAGGACGAGACGCAAAGAGAGGGGCGGGGAGAAAGAGGAAAAAAAGAGAGAGAAAGAGAGAGAGAACTCACTTGTCGAGCGCTTTCAGCTGCAGCAGCAAAGGTTGATTGTCGACCACGTCGGGGACATCGCGACGCATCCGGTTACGATGCAGTCTCAAGGCCGCGGTATCATAGGAGGCCACCTCGTAATAGCCGATGTAAGAGCCGTGCGTGATACCTGAAAGAAATCGAGGCATCGAACATCCTCCTTCCATTAGCTGCTTCGTGACTGTCGAAAAATAGAAGGAAAAGTGGAGACGAGAGACGAAGAGATTATTGCATAGAACATTGGTCTTTCATTGCTTTATAATTGTACTGTCAATGTTTATTCGTTTATCGGGGCACATTTGAATTTTCGACAAATATACAAAAATCTCACATGTCAGTAGCAATTGAACTGTGACTTTGTAATTCCGCAGGTGAAATTATCTACCAACGAAGAAACATCTCGCAGTGGAATATTTGTGTCTGTGAAAGAAGCGAACAAAAACAGGAAAGGATAGAGAAAGAAGTTTCACGGAGAGCGAAAGAACTACTACGTAGAATGTACAATGTAGCGATTACTCTAGCTACTTTGTAATTAAATTCTGAATTTTTATTCATCTGAGGGAGATTTGAAGTTGAAAAAATATGGAGGGCGTAACATGTCAAAGTATGGCACCCGTTGGAAATGTAACAATTAGCGACTTTGTAATTTAGTAAGTGGAACAATAAAATTATCAACCAACGAAGAAATATCTCGCAGTGGAATATTTGTAACTGTCAAAGAAGCGAAGGGAACAGGAAAGAAAGAAGCGGCGAGGTTTTGCAACGCGAAAAAATTACTACGTAAAATGAACGTACAATGTGGCGATTATTCTCTTGCAATTAAACTCTGAATTTTTATTCGTTTATGAGAAATTTGGAGCTGGGACGCAGCAAATCAGAGTATATTTGTTAAAATGCAGTGATCAGTAACTTTGTAATTTTGTAAGTAGGAAAACTATCTATTTTCATAGTTTCATTTCTTCAATTGTGTTCGGAAAATCATGCATAAATATTGGATTGACCAAAAAGTAATTGGGTCTTTTTTCTAGTAAATAGACACACGTGTATATCTCGATATGGAGATTTACTCCATTAAATAAATATACTGCGAGATTTAACAAGAAACTATAACAAAAATCGTTTATTTTAATTTTTATGACGATCGTTAACTTTGGTTGATTCTCAACAACTGAGACTACAATATTTTCCGCTATTTTATTTTCTCCTTTCCTCACTTGTAATCAACGTGGGCGCTGTTAAACTCGTTTTAAAAATACGCGCGCCGTCACACTGAAGTGTAACTAACTTCATTTATCGTGCAATCCTGATATCTGATTGTTCAAGCTTGTCTTAGAAGAAAAAAAATGCACAATCTTGTTAACAATTGTTTATTTGTTTCAAGATCAGAAAGGAACATTTCGAAAAGGAAAGAAATTCTGTGTGCAAGTTCATAAAAGGATTATCTAATTCTATACGGTGTAGAGGTTTTAAAACTGTGTCCTTAAAATTGGCTTGCTAAATTTCATTGCTGATGAAGACATTCAGTCGTTCTTGGAACTGTTTTGTGTCGAAGGAAAAAAAAAAAATAAGAACGCGGAATTATGAAATTGTCAAAAGAAAGATTGAACAAAATGGTCGATTTTAATAAAGTTTTTATTTGTCACGAACGATTCGCCTTTTCATTATTTACAGAATAAAACGCAGTTACTTTTTGGCCAATCTAATATAAATTATATTGTAATTCAAAAAAAGAAAAGAGGAAAGATGAAAGGCGGTTTTGCGATGCAGAAGAATTACTGAAATCACAGCGCAACGATTCGTTGCGTTCTAAACTCAAGTATCGTGCTTTACGATTGCGTTGTAAAGTACTGGATTGCGTAGAATGTTTCATTAACCGATCTCTCGGCCTTTTAACCGAACTGACGGAGAGAAATCACTCGGGGAATCTTGCAAAATCTTTCGAAAACTTGCGAACCTGGATTTTCGCTATCGCGAAAAGGATATAAGGAGTACGGTGAGAATTTCGTCAAAGTTGTTTTCACGAACGTGAGATGCTTTGGTCCGTGAGAGAGGAACAGAGATCGCGCTTCTTTCTCGACTGATCGTGAGCCAATCTCGCAAATTAGCGCACGGTGTAAAGATAAATCATCAGCTTTCATTATCCTCTTCGTCGATTCCAGGAGATGAGATCTCGTGATCGAGCGAGGACAACAAGTGACATTTTCCCATTTTTTTTTTGACACGTGAGTACCTCGTACGATTGTACAAAATTATCGTAGTAATTCTAACAATTGACAGTGAAAACAACTTTTAAAAATAGTTATTAAATTACGTAAATTGTTGCGGCGATATTTCTGAACATTATTACGTCACAGTTTGCAATTTATCTCGCATCAAAATGTTCCTCTCTCATCCTAAAGCAGACACCGAAACAAAAAAAAAAAAAAAAAGAAAAAAATCTCCGCATGATGGAAGAATAGTGCAACGAGGGAGGGAGAGAAAAAAAAAATGTTTCTCTCCCGCGCGCCGGTTAACCTATGTCGGAAAGTTATATCAGGGTCGCGTCATCGAGAGATGAGACAGGATCGAGAGAAAGAAATAGGGAGTGTACTCGTAATCAGAGTGGCACGTGATCGTGGAGTTTTCCATTGTTCGTTCGGCAAGTACCGATCAAGAACAAAGGCGACACTCGGTGGGAACGCGATGGCAGAGCCGGTTCAAAGCGTTGCTCGCGTAGAGCCGAGCGCAACGAGCATATATAGTTGAACGACACCTCGTGGCGTTCTCCAAGCCACGTCGTACGGCTTACAGCTTACGCAACACCCTCCAATAATCTAATTACCGTGGCTCGTTATCGATGCGCGTTGGCTCACGGCGAGTTACAAGTACGTCGCGACCACCCCCTATACCGGACACACTTTCTATCGGATTTTCCATCGAGAATCGATACAGCCCGCGGCTCGATCGCTGGACGTTCCCGCGTGCTTCCCATTGCTCGTTACGTTACGTTACGTTACGTTACGTTACGTTACGTTACGTTATCAGGGCAAGATAGCGATTTGCGACAGTAGAAACCGAACGTGATCCTCCCCCTCTCTTTGGCATTACCTTCGTCGATGGCGATTCCATGTTACGCGAGAATGCTATATGGGACATTCTATGATACTAGTTGCGCAAAGTGCTCCTTCCTAATAGCACAGCTATATATGGCTATATGGCCTGAGGGCTGATAGCTTTAATTACGACCCGGTTGTTTAAAAGGCCCTGCGCGCTAATTTCTATCCGCAAGTATATATATAGCTGCGAAAAACACGGAAAGAGACGCGTCGAGAGACGTTCGATTGAAGATCGCGTCCGCGGTACCGGCGATTCTCTCGTCAAAGAGTTGTTAATGAACTGGGAAATTCGATGAAAGCCATTTGGGGCCGGAATAGAGCATGACTCACCTCGGTGCGGTGGCACGGGACGAAGAGGCGAGGCAACGGCGATGATTAGAAGGCAACCGAACACCAGGAAGAAAATCAAGGGTGCTCCGATTCGAGGATAATGACGATGATGACGGCAACGACGACGATGACGACGTCCTTCCTCCGATCCGAAGGGAGACGACATCGCGGCCCTCTGGGCCCCGTTCTGCCCTCCTCTGTCCTTGCCCTCGTCCACCTCTCTTTTCTCTTCCTTCGCTTCTTCCTCCTCCTCTTCTTCTTCCTCCTCCTCCTCCGCCTCCTCTTCCCCTCCTTCGCCGACGGCCAGGGCCGTAGCGCGCATCGGCTCGACGTTCTCCGGCCCAGCAATAACTAATGGCGCTATCTGCCTTTCGTCGAACAACCGACCACCGCGCTTTGCGAGTCACCCGCCAGACTCATCTCTCTTCCTCTCTCGTCCACTATCTCCTTCCCACTTTCGATCTTCCTTCTCCTCCTCCTCCTCCTCCTCCTCCTCCTCCTCCTCTTCTTCTTCTTCTTCCTCTTCCTCCTCTTCCAGCGAACGTGCTTCCGCCACGTCCTCTTTCTCTTCTTTCTCCTCCGTCGGTCGCTCAACCTTTCGACCCTCCTCCCACACTTTCAGCCTTTCCCAACCCTCCCGCCCCAAGCCCCGACTCCTGGCTGCTACCTTCGTCGATCGGCAGCTCCTCTTCGTCCTCACCGACCGATCGATCCTACTCCTGAAAAAGGAAGAGAAAAAACCGGGGGGAAAAAAAAGAAAGAGAAAAACCCGTCCAGGGAACGGGATTAATTTTTCGAATAGGCTCCTGCGCCAGACAACGTTTGATCCTTTTTGCGGATCTCGCGTTGTTCGGATTTTCTCGTCGCGGTTGCGTCACCGGTTCAAAGGACCGCCGATAGGATCGTCCTCTCTTTGTTCCGAAACCTTTGTGTGTGTATGTGTGTGTGTGTGTGTGTGTGTACGATGGGACATGCACGTGAAACGAATGAAAAGGCTGACACGTCTTCGCGTTGAGACTCCTCGTTGGTTCTGATCGACGAAGAATCTGACAGGATCGCGGATATCAACGCCCGCAAGTTGAAGCTAATTTCAATGACGTTGTACATTTGGGATTTGGGGTTAAACGATCGGATGTCGTGGACGAGCCTGCGACCGGTCGGATGGAACCGTAGAAATCGACAGCGTGTCACGCGAGAACATCGCGGTGCAAAACAGATAAGGAAGGCGATTCTTTAAACGCCTCCTTAAGAAGTTGTTGCTGAAAAATCTCCTCGCGGGAAGCGTGTGTATGTGTGAGTGTGTTTGTGTGCAGCCCGGTAACCGGGAGACGCGATGGCCAACTTGCGCGATAAATCATCGTCAACGTTCGCCAGGCTCGTTCGCTACAACGTTCTTAGACCTTGTATCTCCATTAGTTTCGCGAACAACCTAGTCGATGAATACGAATATTTCAGCCGGCGATCATCGAATCTTTTTTCACCGATACCTCTCGAAGGCAACTCTTTGTAAAACTGTACAGAGTGTCTCGTAACTCGAAGGTAACTTCTTGGAAATCTGGCTCTATTCTATTTACAATGATCAACTTCGCTTTTCCTTTTCACAATTTTCCATTTTCTGTCAATTCCCAAAAAAACTTTATACATTGCGTAAAATACAACGTAAACAATGGTGAATTTTGACAGAAGTTTTAAACAGGTACCATTTGTCAGTGGAATCATAAAATAATTTAAGAATTTAAAGAGAACGCTGAAGAATCAAACGATCGTAATTGAAAAGTGCAGAGTAGTTGCTAAAAAATCACTCGTACCTACATTTACATTCCGTGTGTCGTATTTTCTCGATCTCATAACGATCTAGAGTCTATTCCGCGTGGCAATAACGATACGGAGCAGTTATTCAAAGAACCTCCAGCTAGCTATCCTCCTGCGATGGACACAGAGGACCCGAAATTTTGGTCAAAGCGCGACGATTTCGAAGTCTTGGAAAGGTATACGATATTTGCGGGAGTTTTCCATGCGTGGTAATGGCGTTAGGCGAAACGTTTGGCAGCCGATTCGACGACGACACAACCGCACTGCAAAATCGTCTCTGTCCAGCCGGTTGTCGCGGTAAACTTCCGCGCGAGCCATGGGAAAACGATATCACGGCCAGAGTATAGTCATGGTTCACCCGTTCATGTCCAACGTGTTGATTTTTGCTTTCTCTCTTTCTCTCTCTCTCACTCTCTCTTTTATGTTTCTAACGTCGCGATAACTATTGAATTTGCAACCGTTTCTCTCCGCGCTGAACCTTGCTTTCTTTCGTTCTATTAACATTGGATTAACTGATTTATATATCGTATACAATATTATAAACAATTATAGTGTCATAAACATAAAGTAGGAATTTCAAGACTTGTTAAATCTTTCTATCAATCTGATCAACATTAGAACTATCGACGATCAAAGCGTAAAAATTTATATGAAAAAAAAGCAATATTATTCAAAATAAAATTGTTCAAGTACTAAAAATACAACAGTATGTAATATTTATTTATAAAGATATTTATTTACTCCAAGATTCTGTCATTTCTCTGTGCTTCGAATCTCTTTAAATGCAAATATAGGTCTTTCACGTTCGATTTCCCAATGGGTTAGCGTTTAGTAGTCTTGAAGGAATCGAGAGAAATTTTTTCCACGCAACGTTCGAAATTAAAATTATCACAATTCTTTTCGATTACGCGCTTGAAATAATAATTTTTGTCCGTTCGGAAAAGGAAGACACTAGAACCTTTCGTTTTTGATACTGCTACGGTTAACGTTCCGAAATGAGTAACTCCTTTTTCTCTTTTTTTTTTTTTCATTTTCACCCTCATCTTCCTCGCAGACGAGCGCCGTTCGTCTACGTGAATCTTTAAGGCGCAACTAGGCTGAAACACGCGTTGAAAAATAGAACGGAGAAACTAGATAACCGTGTAACCATCGCTCGAATCGGCTTTCCGTTTCTACCGAACGTGCGAATCGACGTGCGATCGTAGGTAACCAAGCCGACCCACTCTACCGTACGATTTATCACTTTTCTCTCTTACTCTCTCTCTCTCTCTCTCTCGTAATATTTACAAACATCCGCATTTTTTTTCGCGGTATGCTGCACAAGCGCGAAAGAACGCGCGCTTTATCGGCGTTCTCCGGCGCACACACGCTGGCCCGAAACAAATTCCCTCGCGTGGGTGGGAAAAACGCAAAAAACGAGGAGATACGCGTTGCAACAGAGAGAGAGAGAGAGAGAGAGAGAATGGTGGGGAGAACATGATCGCGAGAGGGAATTCGAATCGCGTTTCTCCGGCAACAATTTACGAAATTGTCTCTCGCGCATACCGCGCCGTGCACCGAGCTATAAACGCGTCTCGTTCTCCATCGACGATTCGCGAACGATAATCGTCCCACGTACGTACGCGGATAGCTCTGTCCTCTAGCTATCGCGCGAAAAACGCCTCGCCTGGCATCAAACTTCTAAGAAAGAAGACAATGAAACGACGCGCGAATTTATCCATTCACCGATGTTTGTCCGATTCCGCGCCAAATACTTTCAATAGCGAGTTGCAATTCGTACGCAACTGGTCGTGATAGCGTATACCAATTGGCCATTATTAGCGGGAACACGCGAGACCAACGTGCTCCAATTGGACGGAACGAGTATGTGTGTCGGGCGTAGCGGTAAACCGGCTACGGTTTCGCCCGTACCGGAGCCGCATCTACCGATCGCCCGGCCGAATCTCAACTTTGGAGCGAGTTCGAAGGTTTTCGGAGACTATGGAGAACGCGAATCGATTGCCGGAAATGTTTGGAGCTCTCGAAACGTTTCTGACGAGCCTCTTTTCAGCCTTCGATCGTTCGATTCGAACCCGGCTCGCCTCGACTTTTTATTTCCTTCGAGACGTCGTTACCTTCGTTTAACGTCGACGACTGATCGGAAGTGTGTACATTTCGTTGCATATAAGGGTAAGCAACCAACGTGGCCGCGAGTTGAGAACACTCTTACGAACGTGGTATCGAGACTCTCGAAGACTATCGAGAGTGTCAAGCGTTGAATCATGCACGAGATGCATTCTAATCTATAAGGCACTTGTACAAATTCGATGGCGATTCAAACGGTTTCAGATGCAGTTGATTGCACGCTGACGCTTCACTTCGCGTCCTTTTTATTTTCTTTCCCCCCCTCCCACACCCCCTTTCTTTCTTTTTCTCGTTCGTTTCCCCTCCACGTCTCTTCGCTCGCCGCGTTTCCGGGGAGTACAGTTAATTTTCTTGGAGCAGAATTAAACCGACCGAGGGAACGTTTCTCATTATTCGAAACACTCTCGTCCGGGGCGTCCAGATGAAATTTCTACCGGGGCGAACTTTTAAATTAACGTGTCGGATTTATCCGCGGGAAGAACCGGGTCGAAACGTAAGCCTGTCCCAACATAACTGTCCCTGCATTTCGGCCGGGATCCATCCAACGAGGGGACAAACGACGTCGGTGAATTTAGAATAATTAACTCGATGACTCTTTTCGTTCGGTTGTGACGAAACAACCAAACAATTTCTAAACATGACCGATCCAACAACGTATCAAACGTTAATATAACGAATTGACCACTTGCGCTGGCAACTGATTGCGGACCATAACGAGCGACCAAACCGTATACAATAATTCGTCGCTTTCTCTTTGAACTCGTCGGTTCACGACATCACTGGATAGATATTATTGAGAAGTAATAAATTTGTTATTTTGCTTGTCTTAAATATACTTAAAACTATCAACTCAAAACTATATACTCGAAACTGAAAAAAAATATTACAACTTTGGGACAAAGCGCAAGAGGTTAAATCTGAAAATTTCAACAAATTTATGCGTGATAGCACACAAATGTCTATAGATTACAAATACATTGCTTGTCACATTTCTCCATTTGACAAATACCTCGAGACATTCTCCATACGGGGACAAATATCAAGCGAAAAGTCGAGTTACCCTCGAAAGACTCGGCTGAAATGAAATGCACGAGTCGCGGCACGAGGATCAACGACGGAATACTCGAAATGCTCGTCCGTTTCCGGTATTCCAGGCTCGACGAACATTTCAAACACACGCCGTGTGTACCGCGAGCGTGATCCAACAGCGAAACAGGCCGAAAACGATCGAAAAAGCGCGTAAAAGACTGGACGTGGGTGTAGAAATTCGCGAATACCGATGGTAGAGATGGATGGCGTCGGCGAGCATCAGGACAATTTTCCATCGAGCGCGGCTCGCCGAACCGTTACCTCGTAACGCACGCCGAACGGCGAAACACGTTTTGCGTAATGTCCTAAGCGTTCGTCGGCAGAACCGAGGCGAAACGGCACGAAACTGGCGGCCTGAAACTCCTCCGAAACAATTACCAAAGAATGGGTTGGCGACCGCGTCGAGGTCGCCGTAGTGGCCGAAGGCTTTCGGACGAAGCTCGAATTGTCAGAAAATTTCGGATGCGACGTAGACTGGATGTGGAAACGGAGAGGAGGCGAGTCACGAACGTGCGAGGATTATTAATACCCGGCTTAAGGCGATTAGCGGTGGTCCACGGGTTACGTTCATCTGGGGAAATTGCGTCGATGAGAGGCAAGCCAGTTTCCGGATTATTAATTTCAAGTTTCTATTGTGATTAGTATCGAGCGTCGTTGGGAACCGGGGGTTCGAGAAAACGAGATCAAGCGAGGAAACAATTTTGGAGCAATTGGGCCGATTAAGGATCGCGCGGAGTGACGAGGATTAGCAACTGTACGAACGGGGAATATCATTGGAAATGACGGATAAAATAATTTGATCGAAAAACGAGAAACTTATCAACTCACTGAGAAATATTTTATGAGAATTAACTGCAACATGATCGGACATTCGAAATAATTAGTACAGTTTAATAGAGATTGAACGTTAATATTATATTGCTAGTCTAGATCGAATATTTTAGTATTATTTTAATATTTAATATCGAATACTAAATTGCTACCGTGATATTAAAGGAAAAAAGAAAAAAGAAAAAAAAAATGGTAAAAAAAAGAGACATCAAAGAAATCCCTCGAATTTCCAGGCTAATATATTAAAAAAAAAAAAAAAAAAATGAAATTCAATAACGGAGATTGATCGAAAAAAAAGGAATTGCAAGCGAAACATCGCGTTAACCAACGCGCTGGCCTTTAAATGACTTTTTCGATGATCGACGCGCGAATGTTGATGGATTAACCGTTATGTTTAATACACGGTATTGTTTAAACGGCGTGTCGAATTAACTGAATCGGAACGAGGCGTGTTGTTGTGCAATATCGATGGAATGATATTGGCTAAACATAGTTTGTAATTACACGGGGGTTGGGGCGATTCCGCGGGAAACTTGGCCGATTGATAACGTTAATTAGTCTTAACGCGTCCTTTTGTGTTCGCCGAGCAAGTTTCTTAAGAGCACCGTGCGCGATGTACAATGGTTCCGACCTGCTAACGGACTCCCCGAGTTATATTTTAATATAACTTTCACGTAGATAAGCGTCGCTTATGCAACGCTCGTTACATACACCAACACTCGATACTCGATGCTCGCGTTTAACGCTCGCTTCTCTTATTAAACGACGATTAAAGTCTCGCTGCAACTTTCGTAACTTCTCGCAAAGATAACCGCGACTCCTTCGACTATCCTATTGTTATCCTTCTCCCTCACGTATTTGGCTGTGGTTCGTTAAATCGTCTCGCCGGGGGGAAAAAATGGGGTGCGTTAAATGACACATACGTAGCTGCATATCGTGTCAATTCGCGTTCGTACCCTCGAAAAGTCAGCATCCGCCGAAATCACTTCCGTTTGGTGTCCCGATGGCGCTGGGGACGCGTTTTACGTGACATTTAAATCTCACATCATGCGCGTGCAATCCGAGGTAAACACACTCGTGTACGTACGTACAAAACAACGAGGGATGAAACGTGCGACGGTTGATAGGGACGCGTGTTTCCTTGGTTTTCAAGGTGATAAAACGAGGCGTCGCGTTGACTCCGGCGATCACGAGGGAAATCTGGCATCGTTTACCGACTCGCGTTCTCTTCGACAGGTTGCGAATTGTGCTGGGAAAAGGTACATACGTACAACGTACGTACAGCGATGTATGTGTGCGTGTGTAGGTGTGTGTGTGTGTGTGTGAGAGAGAGAGAGACATGCACGACGAAAAAAAGCCACGGTGCTTAACCGCGCGAACTGAGAAACAGAGAGACCGAGGGATAAATCGAAGGATGGAGCGAGAGAGGGAAAAGGAGATGCCAAGAGGGAAGGAAAAGGAGAAACCCGCACGTAGAATATTGCGCGTGCTCGCTGCTCTCGCATACTATCTGACACCTACCTATGCACAGCGGTTCGAGTCCTGCCACGGGCGTCCTTTCCGCCGTGATCCTCGTCCTTCCGACCGGTTTTCGCTGGGTCGTCGATTATTCATTTACGGTCATTGTACCGCATCCCTGCCGCACCACACTAACTACCCACAGTATCACACGTGTGTCACACGGTAGCGTGCCGTCGTTTTCTCTCTTTCTCTCTCTCTCTCTCTCTCTTTCGGTCGACAATACAAACGGAGAAATGCGTAATCCAACAGAGAAAGAGGGAGAGAAGTTGATGGAATAGAACGCGCAACACCAACCCAACACGACGAGACAAACAGGGACGCGTACCGCGTCGCACTGACGGGAACGCTCGTGACTCGTGCGAACGAAGACTCCGAGGACAACGACTTCTCCCACCGCGCTCGCGTTCGACCCAGCTGTGCTGCGCCCTCTCTCCTTCTGCCTTACGAGCTCTCCTCTTATTCCCCTAATAGCGCGTTCTCTTTCTTTTTCAGAGATTCCATGCCTGGACGCGGACCAACGCTTTCCAATGGTGGCACGTTGTACCATCAACCCCTCCATCAGAGCCCCACTCCTGACCGCCGTGTTCCAACTCCCACCGTCCGCGTAACTTGACCTTAGCCGTCGGTCAAAGGAAAGGAGTGTTCCTGAAACAGAAGGGCGACTAAAGAGTTACGATCGTCGTTTTATATTGTTGGTGCCAACACGAAACAATGTGACTGTCATTTCTCACCAGGTTTCGTTAAGATCTCTTCTTATCGCTAATACCTTTAGCTTGATTTCAAACCACTCCGTCCCAATGATTCTTAAACATGGCTGCAATCGTCTGTTAAATCTGCATCTGAGAGATGAAGTCACTTATTAACGACGATAAAACGTTTGTCATCTTTTGATGCCAAGACATGAATGAAATTTTTTTGCTATATCATTGAATACTTGTTCACGTAGCCACGATGTTTAGCGACAACCATACGTGTCGGTAAATGAAAGAAGGCGAGCGCGTGATATCGTCGAAGAGGGGCGATTCAGCACGCGAGGGGCCCCTCCACGGAAAACCCCCGCAGCAGGCTTATTTAACCCCGCTTTCCCCAACCAAACCACCCCCGCTATAACCGAGCGACGCGACGCTTGCCTCGCAGACCACTATATCTTGTTCATTTTCCCTTCCTCCTGATAGCCACACCGCGCAGGGTGACCCCTATTGATAGCTCGAACTACTTTTCGCCCCTTCCAAATTTCCTCCCTTCGATACTAGACTTCAATATAACTCAAGATCGTGACAGAGGTGCGCGTTCAAATTGAAATTGAATTTCTCGTTCGAATTTGAAATCGTTTTTGCAAATATTTCGGGAAGTTTTTATTAAATTAACAGCAAGAGAGATTCGCACGAGTAAAATTTCCCTTCAGTATTATTAACGTTAAATAGTTAGTAACATTCCGTATTGTTAACGTTAAACAGTTAGTAACATTGAAAGTAGACAGAATTTCTATGCAAAATTCAAACGAAGATCGATCGATCGCTAGTGAGGATTGATTGTTGCGATTAATACACGTTGCACTCGAGGGTGTCGCCTCTGTACAATGAATGCGTTAAGTAAGGTTATGTCGAGTAATGACATAACCTAACCTTACCTCAGACTACGCTCTTTGACACGTAATAAAGTTAGAATATATTGTCGACTGTGTTTTGTATAAAATTTTATACTATGGTATAATTTTATATTGTTGAAATGTTAATTTTGTAATTAAATGTTTAATTGAATATTTTGGATTTTAGGCTCGCTATTTTCGAGAAGAAGATATAGATGGTACAGTATGAAATTCTTTATTTTGTTATTTGAGATTGTTATTTGTAAATAAAAGTGTATCTTTTTTTTTATAGAATTTAGAGAATGTTTTTATCTCTTTGCAAGGAATGGCCAAATACGCACTCTGGATGAACTTACAATCATTATGAGATCATTGGGATTAAGCCCGACTATTGCAGAATTAAATAAATATTTAAAGGATAAAGGTATGTATAAGTAAATGATTTATAATGCAAATGTTACACTCACAAATTCTCAACCATAGGAGGGAAAATGTCTTTTGCTGATTTCTTGGAAGTTATGCATTTACAAACCAGAGCTGAGGATCTGCCGAAGGAAGTGATAAATGCTTTCCAAGCTGCAGATAAATTTAGAACTGGTACTATACCTGCTAGACAATTAGCACACATGTTGCTCCATTGGGGTGAGCAATTAAGTAACAAAGAAGGTTGGTTTTCTTAATTAATCAAAATATATTCCAACGACTATTTTTAATTAATTCATTTATCTCTGATTTCCAGTGGAGCAGATTTTTAGAGAAGCAAACGTATCTCCAAATGGACAAGTGAAATATGAAGACTTTGTAAAAATAGCCTGTGCACCTGTACCTGATTATTATTGAGAGGCCTTTTTACATCATTGGAAGTTGTTTCTTGATATTTAAGCATATTCAAACATTTGTTATTTATAGAATTTTTATACAGAGTATATCTGAAATTAATAAAGAAGCACATTGTCACAAAACGGAAAAATTTATTTTCACAGCAGTTTATCTTCAGTAGACGAACGATATACATCTTATCTCTAAAGATTACTTATAATTACCAATGCTCGGTACCTAATCCATCGATCTTATTCGAAACGAAGTTACTCGAATCTCGTGCCCGGTTAACTCAATTTCCCTCTCGTATCTAACCCTCTTTGGCGATGTTCGTGGTCGGTGGAGAGCCACAGAGGATGACGGTGGTGCTGACGATCGTTGTCAAGAAAAAAACGCAAAGTAGCGCTCGATCGCTGACCAATGCGACTTGTTTCCAATCTAATTCCATTCGTTCCCGACGATCCTGCTCCGCTAGTCGCTTTTCATTCCTCTCGATCGTCGCGTGCACTCTTCCTAGTACGCGCAACCACTGAGCTTCCAGGCTGCTCTCTTTTCCAAGATCTACGCCAAATTTCTTTCCAAGTTATAGAGATTAAGTTGCTCGAATTCCGTGTTGCTCACCTAAACTAGGGCTGCTGCTGTTACTTTCCTCTCGCCTGCTCACGAACTTGGGCGACGACTGCGACTGGGCTAACTCCGGTTTGCAGTGCAGTGGACAATTGTTTTTTCTTCTGGGCGGCTCGACTGGTTCCTAACGCAAATTATGTATACAGTAGATTTCCTTTTATCTGACCTTCTCGAACAATAAATAATTTATACGAATACACGGGATTCACGCGATAATTGACTGATGCTTTTCATTTGCTGAGATTTTTCTCTTGTATGATAAAAGTTCACATATAAAAATCAATGGACAGAAGAGTTCATTTAAATCTGCTACATCTTTTATATTCGAATTGTATTTTTTTACACTTTTAAAATTCATTAATAAAAGGATTCGAGTACGACAATGAATTTTTAAAAATATTCGAAGAACGTGTGTTTTCAATAATAAAGCTGAATCTCACCGATCTTTTTTCTTCCTGGAAATTAAGAAACACTATCCTGGCGAGCTTGTCCAAAACCAACGATCGAACGATACCGGGCACTCTGGTACCTTGAACCCCACGATGATGAAGATTCAAGGTGACCACTGCTAATCCTGAAGCGAACGTTACCAGGCATATGCTGACACCGTAATAAAGACCTGAAATAATGAGAATAATGATAATCTGTGTCGATGCAAATTGGCTATCAATTCAAATTAACTGACACTCTGAGTGTTTCTGTGTAAATTAATTGTCAAGTAAGTTTCCAATTACGTAGTTTAGCATTGCATACAGATTTCTCGCTGCTTTCGCAACTGGTTAAACGTGATTTCATTGCGTTTTATATTGGTATCGGAGGACTTTCAAAGAAGACGTCTGGAAATTCTCAATCAACGCAGTTATGCTATTGTCGATGTCGATATTATCAGTGATCAGCGGTTCACATAACAGAAATTTCTACGCAAATCCTATGGAGATAAGAATATAAAATAGTATGGAAATATGAAGCATTTTGAATTTCTATACTGTACTGGCATCTCTGATCTATTAAGTATTATTAAATTGAAGTTTCTACAACATTAAACTATGGCTTGGTTCTTACTGAGGTGACAATAATTGGAAATTAAACCAGTTTGTTCGTTTATCCATCTAACTTTGTTACAGCACGTCTTACCGTAGTTCATTTTTTTAATTTATTAATTGGGTCATTTCTAGAAGCAGTAACTTCCATAATCACGAAACTAAAAGTTAAGTCGGTAAATGTAAATACAAAGTGTAATTTGTCGCTAATGAAACTTCGAAATCGTCACATTTTCCCTAACATTTCGTAGTTTCTTCATTTACAACTACGTTGAGAACTCTGTGAGAAAATATACGTGTATCTCAAACAAAATGTAGCGCTGATTCTTCGAGTATAGGAATCCAGATGTAAAGAAAGTTTTCCTAACACAACACTGTTAAAAGCGAAAATTTCACATTTCAATGGAGATAGATAATGATCGTTTTTATCGTCTTTTTGTTGTCTCTTCCCCTCGTTTCGCTTTTCGCGTAATTTGGTTGGAAAGCGTAAAGTATCGTAAAACATTTTCTCGTAATTTAAACTAAATTCAAGCATTATTTGCTACGTAAAATACTTAAAAAAAAATAATTGTTTAAACAGCGTATCATCCTATTCGAGTGGAATGAATGAATGAATGAAAATCTGTGTGACAGTGAAACTCCGGTTATTTCGAACTACGGATTTTTGTCATTTTATCTCGAGTAAAATTAAATTAGTATGCTCGACGACAGTGTTTCCGTTTATCCGTTCGAGACGATTATCCTTAATGAAAAATTAAGTACTCACTTATCAACGGTGTTTTCTCCGTGGGCGGCAGTGTCTCGCGAATAGTCATTAGGAAGACCGTCATAGAGAGAAGCGCCGAAATCCCCAGGGTGACTTTTTCCCCCGATTCAGACGGCACGTAGAATACCAACAGGGCTGAGCAAACGGAATACGCAGATAAAAAGAGGGTTCATGCCCCGCCAAATGATATTTCTCGTCATGGAATATCGAACAGAAGGCATTCTTAATTGTCGCATGAGCACCGAGCTTTTTCCACCGTGTCAAAGAAGGAAATAAAAAAAGTGCCGAGGGAGAGTTCTGTGTAAGTTTTTCCAACAGTGAAGAACTCGGATCCCTTTGTCAATCGGTTATAATCGTGCTCGTTTCCTTTTGAAGATTCAAATACCTCTGTTGTCGGGAGTATGGATAAAAAAAAAGAAAGAAAAAAAGGAAATCGTGACTTGAAGTGCCAGGTCCTTCGTATGGTGAGTTTACAACTGGAGAGTTTTAATGAAATTTCCTCTCTGGAGTCGATAAGAACGCTTGACCTACTATCTTACAAATAAGGACTAGAGTTTGCCTGAATAATATATATCATCGCGATCATCGCAAATTGTCTCATCTTTCTAAGAAAATTATCAATATATATATATATATATATATATATATATATATATAGGAGACAATGAGTTTTTAATTTGTGTTTAAATATATTATTATTCTAAATATATTAAATAGCTATGCTGATTGATGATATCCGTTTAAATGAATTTTTGACAAGGACAATCGGAGTGGGTTCAAAACACGAGTGCTAATTAAAATTTACCCTAAACGAATGAAATTGTACTGTTGGAAGAGTAACTCGTCATTTTGGTAGTTCTAGCGTTGACTTAGCAATTCCAATAATTTCGATAATTAATAACAATGACGACAATTTCAATTTTCAATTCAACCTAAATGTTTAGAGATTTAAAAGAAGAATATAAAAATTAAAAAATTTAATTTTTAACAATCCTTAAATAATCAGAAGAAACAGTAGATGTGTTCGATGCTTACCGACGCTGTTGATCAGTATACACGGAAGGATCAAGTTGAAGACGTAAAATGTCGGTCGACGTCGTAGCCGTATCTCGTAGGTAATGTCTGGATACGGTTCCGAACAACAGGAGTAGTACTCGACGTTCCTTCTCGCTGAGAAATCGACCAGATCGAATTCACCGTTTGCTTGGTAATTGCTCATGTCCCCCTGCTCGTTTTGCCTCTCCAGCTCCAGCTGCACGAGCACGTATTGCGTTTTAGCGCTCTTCAACAACAATAGCGTCACAGGGGAAGATGCATTATTTCGCGGGAGCTCAAGAAACTGTATTTTACTTTTGGTGTTGAATCTTGGCTGCGAGCAATTATGAGAGAGTGGGGGGATGATATAGATTCTGAAAGCTAGATTAAAGCGTTAAAGCGTCGGCTCGAATTAAATCCAACGGGATGGAACATGGGCTTTCGCGATTACATGTCAGTATATCTCGCGCAGACAATCGGTAGACAGGTACCGGATAAGGCAAAAACGAGCCCGATGTGAAAAGCATATTCGACGTGACGGCGAACGTTCTATCGCGAGGTGCAACTGCACATTCGTAAAAAAAAGGAATTTCCCCCGTAGCGAAGGAAGGAGTCGAATTTTTTCCCGGTTTTCCCTTTGACGTTGTTCATCAGGCTTTTGGGGAAAAAGAAAAAAAAAAAAAAGGATTATACGGAGCGTCGAGGGGTTTTAACAGCTGAACTTTGTCATTTTAACAGGTGAATTTGGACAAGTCTGGATAAGAAAAATTATCTGCATTGGTTACGGATAATAAGATTGCGACGATGTTATTGGAAAATTCTTGTTTGAGGGACGTAATTCAACGTAAAACAGACTAATGAGCAATTTAAATGATCTTTTTCTTTGAATAATAGGAACGAGGTCTAGGGGTAAGATCGTATCTGCGGCGTTTTAGGTTGCAAAAACGGTAGCGACACGCAAAATGTATTCAATGTCGGTGGATAGGAAATGGGAAAACTCTGTGAAAGGACGGGATCGAGCGTCGAGCTTCGTCGGGAGCTGAGAAACGGCTCGCATTGAATTCTTCTCGCATTTGGGATTAAGCTGCTTCGATTTGCACGAACCATTTTTGCGACCTGCCGAGCCGGCATTTTCGATTTGTCACTGTTAAGCGTCTCTGGACTTTCGAAAAGACCGAACCTATTTTGATCACGCCGGGAAATCTGTCAAATTCCCCAACGGTGCCTTTGTCCCTTCATTTCGATGCAAATGAGCAACAAAGATATTTGAGTCTCGAAAAAGAAATTTGTATTTTTGCAATCGGATAAGTTTCTTTTTTTAATATGTGTTTAATCCGATCGTCCCAAAGGGGTGCCTTTGTTCCTTCATTTCGATGCAAATGAGCAAGGAAGATGTTTGAATCTCGGGGAAAAATTTGTACTTTTGTAATTAGATAAATTTTCCAAAAAATACGTGTCTAATCTAATTATGCCAACGGTGCCTTTCTTCCTTCATTTCGATGCAAATGAACGAGAAAAATATTCGAATCTCTGAAAAATTTGTGTTTTTGTAGTTAGATAAATGTTTTTAAGATAAAAATATGTATTTTTGTGATCATTAAATTTGAAAAAAAAAAAATCTGATCGCGTCGCTACTTCCTTTTTTATATTCCTTATTTCTTTCTCCGTTCTTATTTCTTCATTTTTTTTCTTTTCCATTCCTTTCTTGTTTTTCATCTGTTCATTTTCTTTCCGTTCTTTTCCCTTTATTTTCTACTCTTTTCCTTTCATTATCTTTCCTTTTTCCATACCTTTCTGTTTCCTCTTTTTTCTGCTTTTTTTCGTCCTATCACTCATTTCTCTCTTCTCTCTCCTTTTCCTTTTTATTCCTTTTCCTTTCTATCCTACCTCATCTTTTTCTTTCCTTCGTTACCTATCTTTCCCTTTTTCCAACCCCTTCTTTTCTTCCTTCCATTTTTTAGCATTAGCTTGTCTATGTACAAGCTTGATTAACGTTCCTGCACTTACGATAAACTTTTAATATCTCTAGGTGTTTGGATTTTTAAGACGGAACGCGAGCCGAATGGAAAATTAAATCTTTCCTCAAAAAAAGAAAAAAAAAAGAAGAACTCGGAGCAGCTCCTGCAGATTGTTGCAGTCGCGAGAAAAATTTTTAGAACGGAAACTGTTGGACACCAATGTCAAGTGTCAAGGTTTCGGTCAAACTGATATCCTGCACCGCACAGCACGGATATTTTTATCGTCTAGCCTAGCGGATGGTCCTCCGGACGATATATCACTTTCTCATCTGCATACCGTCCCGAGGGAGGAACTGCGTGAAATTGAGGGCAATACAGACTCGAGAATCTGACCGATGCAGACGTTGTCCGATTAGATCCTCGACCAGCGGTAGTTCCTTAAACACTTCTGACCGAGCATGCACTTATACATAAAAATGTTCCAAGAAAAAAAAAAAAGAAAGAAAAGATTCTGAATCATGGAACAAAGTGAAGTGACGATAAATTTGACTGACACGACACGGTGACGCGTGTTTCGTCCCCCGTTAAAAAAGAAAAAAGAGAGAGAGAGAAAAAAGAAAAGAAAAAAGTGTGTAGAACACAGTCGGGCAATTTCAGAATCGATGAGAAAAGATTTGAATAAAATATACGGGGGATGAACGTGTTGGTTTCACGTGGGTGTCAGCACGCGCTCACAGCACCGCCGCCAGTCTCGTTCGGGTTAATTGCGTGGAAAACTGTATTCCACCTTCCGTTGCCTGAATTTCAAGGCCTCGGAATTGCCCGTTGCCTTCCCTCCGATATCCTCGTCGACGTTTTCGGCAGCCTTCGCCTAAAATTCCCTCGTTTCTTTCACGCTTCCGTGGAACTCAAAAGCCTAATATAGACGGCGCGGAGTGATTCGGCCGGGAAAACGGACGGAAGAGAGAAACGAAAGGAGCCTAACTTGGAGATTGATCTTACTTGGTATCCATCGTACGTCCAGGATGCCCATTTCAGGACGCAGCGTTGCTCGTCGAAAGGGAAGAACTCCACGTTGATGTCGCAGCTGCTGCGAAATATCCCGTGGCTTAACCACACCACCTCGCCCGTGTGACTGACTATCACGTTCGTATTGATGACCGCCGAGCTGTACTGTGGATCGGCGCTGCAAAACAAAAACCGAAGATATAGGCAGCTGACCAGATGGAAGAAATCCGCGCGTTTCTGCAGCAGCCAATCAATACCAAAACTATTTCTATTTTATAACGTAACGCTCGACTGGCCAGGAGGGAATTGCACTGGCGGATGGAACTCGATTTGGTTAAATCTATCGGCGGGGTAAACAATTGACGCAACTCTGCAACTCATACGATAGCTATTCGTTCATTCTTACTATTGTTCTACTGGGTGTTTTGTTTATGTAACAGCATTTCACGTTTGGACAAACTGAGCCAACGACAATAGGGCAAACGTTGATTTTGATCTTTTAATTCCGCCGCGGGATCATCGGATATTTTACGTATCGATCTCTCTTGACACTCGACGTTTTAAGGATATCTTCAGGTGGAGTGACATATATGCGCGTGCGGCAATAATGTTTCCTTCCCAATGACAGAGGAATACGCAGATTCGAAACACGCAGAAAGATCAGAGAGATTTATAATCTTCGTGCTTAAAAATATTCTTACCATTCGTAAGATCGTCCTTTTTAGTATTTCATTTCAAAAATAGCCCGTTCGTAACAACAACGGTTGTCTTTCAGCGAGATTCCAAGATTTGTCTCAGATTTAGTACTACTTCAACAATTGCGAAAATGAACGGTATGACCTCGTACGACATTTTAAAGAAGAGACATCGCTTACTTGTTGTACAAGATCGTATCTGGCCTCCAGACGCGATTGTAAGGAACGCGGATCACTTGAATTCCAGCGAATTCCGAGGCGTTCCATTTCAGATGATGGTCGGTCCAGATCTGCGTCACCCAACAGTTGGTTGTCAGTATCTGGTTCTTCTCGTCCTGCAATAAAAATCCCCCCCCCCCCGGAAATTATCAGAAAATTATCATGAGAATCTGAGATTTATCATTGCATCGTGGAAGGAAAGAAAATAACCAAGTTGCTAACTAGCCAAGAAGACGTGACAAACGAAAGATAACAACACTCATTAGAAAGAGACAAATCTTTGAACATTTCCACCAGACTTTTGCGCGCCCTTCGAGCAATTTATCTTAGGTATTTCCAATTACCCAGCCTCGACTATCTCTCGCGAGATTCTGCGGCATCGTCCTACCAAACGTGAAAAGAAATAGATACATCGTAACGAATATAAATTGATGCGCAAGGGAAGATGGAGAAAATTTGAAACATCGCGCAAACGGTTGTTTATGTGATGTTAATAATTGAACAAATTCTTCCTGCTAAAAGATTAAGGATAAAAAAGAATACCCCTGCAAAGAAATATTGACTTTGGCGTGCGTAAGAGATTTTTGACTTTTGACTCTTATAAGAAATCTCTCCTTCAGATGCGGAAAGAAAATTCAATTTGAGCATCGTTGACGGATATTATTGTAAAGTTATACAATAATACGATACAAATCAATTTCTTTTAATTTTCCTTTGAAAATTTTTCACCACCATCACCATAGATCAACTTTCAATTTAACTTTTCTTTTTTTTTTTTTTTTTTTGATATCATATAGTTTTATTATTATTATACATTAACATGAAAAGTCAAGATTTCTTTGGAATTTCGAAAAACTCTAAAGTTCCACTATTTTTTTGGTATTGCGTGAACCAAAGTTTATACAAAGTTCCAAGCTTTATTCAATTTTCTATTCTCCGGGAAATTAATCAATTGTTTTGCTCCTTATAAAAATGTTCTTACAAAGTGATAACAAAAAGAGCGATGATTTTGATCGTGAAATCAGCTTCTGTGAAATTTCCGCGAAATATTGCAGGCGAAAAGATAACTGTGTGTTATTACTGATACGAGTACTGGTAATTTTGATCAATTGTGCGAGCCATTGTGTTTTCCTGGGCTAAATGGCCGCGTATCGCCTGAATGCCGATACTTCAGCCGAAGTGCAAGTTAATACGGGTTTCAGTGCCCGGCCTGAATTTCCCATTTTTCAGCATGTCGAAGGAACAAGCACGAATCGGCTGGCAATTCGCCGCTTTGTACTCGTTTCCACGATTTCCAGATTACCTCGCCTTTTTCGCGGGTGTATTTATTTTGCCGCCATCAACAGCACCGTACGAATCGCGGCGCTTTAACACGTTCGAGAGGTCGTGACTGAAAAATCTAGTCTACGTAGAAACATTGAGAAATTTCTTGAGAAATTGGAAAAATTGACCGCCCCGGGAAAACAGGTCTCTTCTAGAACGCTGTATCGTTTGAAAAATCACTTTCACACCGAGTTCCGAAAATCCATTCGTCGAGAGGAGAGGATTTAATCGAAATTTTCTGCAAGTACGCTAGGAATAAGTCGACGACCAAAATGTAAAACGCATACTTTCGTTTATACGTTTATAAATGATGATCGGTACTCACCACGTCGATTATGTGATGAAGAGAAAGGCCAAAGACGACTGTCAACGGCTGGGAGGAATTTTTAGCTGGTCGTACACCGGCGTCGTACCCATCGAGCAGATATTTCGTCAGTCTGTACTCGTGTTCATCCCCAAAACCTGCAAAAACCAAAGTATGCATGGAATCTGTCCAACATTCACGGTGGAATTAAATTTCATACGTCGTAATACACGCTGCATTGCCCTCTTAGTAATGGATTTTTCGATATCTCTTACTTCTTTTCGACTTGATGCATGGTACTATTCATAAGTACTGAATATTGTCGCGTTGTCTGTTATTTCAAATGATATTTTTCAATCCAAGTTTGCCTCATTTGGTCTTATCTCGGAGAATCATGTGCAAGTAGTAGATTTTAGAATAAAATTAGATAACAGACGAATAAAAGAAATTACAGTCGTCCTCTTAGTCCTTAACTATTTATTAATAATAGATAGCTAGAGCGAAACGAGGCATGTTTTTCTCTCTCGATTTAAATTCTCAGCTAAGTCAGTTATGTGCGACAGGGCATAAAAATTGCACACGTCCAAATATTCATGGAAAATGGCGTGAATATATTGGTTGCTTCCTTCGATAAAATATGCGATCGTAGAATATTTCATAGCTTTCATCGATCGGGGAAAGTCGAGTGGAATTGCACGATGGCTATCACATCATTTCACAAATGATGATCCATCTCGTCTTTAATCACAAAATTTAATTCCTTTCTCTACATCAAAGATATCCATTATAGTGTTTCCGATCCGTAAGGTAGAAGCGTTCGTTTCATCGAGGTGCCTATTGTGTCCCGAAACGCGGGAAGCCTTCTCGTAGACCAGCTAAGGTAGCTAATCTACCGTTCATTTCATCTTTTCCCCGAAGCTCGCCAGGCGTTGCCTTCAAACTTCAATTAGATAAGAGATCTCTCGCCGAAGACAACGGTACCAGTCAGACAGCATCCGCAACAATAGTTGTCGGATTAATTAAAGTTGGTAGCTGCCAAGTAAAAAGAATCTTTAGAAAAAAAAAAAAAAAAAATGTTAAAAACACCTTCCGTTCTGAAATCGTCTGAAGATTTTCGAAATCTGTTAACCAGGGAACAATTTGTCACTCGGATTCCTAATTTTATGGGTATAATTAATTTTTCTGATTTGCAAATCTCCTATTTTATATACATTCCTTTCTGTTAGAGATAATTTACATTTGAAGAACGTTGAGAACAAAAATAAATAAATAGACTACAGTTTCTTTTTCTGAGCAAATTCATGTTTCTCAAAATAAAATTCAAGAAACAGAATTTCGGTGTAGAGAATCGTTCTACGTACTGAATTTTACAGAAATCACTGTACTTTGGATATTTTAGATATATTTTATATTAATTTACAATATTATAAACTCATATCTTTCATTCAAGTCCCTTGTCTTGATGAAAAATAAGGTCAATCAGTCCCACCTAAATAAAATTCTCTTTCCATTGGATCCTTGGGATTGAATCCCAAGAGAAATTAATTAAACAAAGTCAACCTTTAATTCTATAATTATAAAAAATTTTTTTTTTGTTAACAAGCGACTCGATCAAGAGCGTAAAACATAAACTCATATCTTTCATTAAAGTTCCTTGTCTTGATGTTTAAAATAAGGTCAATCAGTCTCACCTAAATAAAATTCCCTTTCCATTGGATCTTTGGGAAAGAATCCGAAGAGAAATTAATTAAACAAAGTCAACCTTTAATTCTATAATTATAAAAGTTTTTTTTTTGTTAACAAGCGACTTGATCAAGAGCGTAAAACATAAACTCATATCTTTCATTAAAGTTCCTTGTCTTGATGTTTAAAATAAGATCAATCAGTCCCACCTAAATAAAATTCTCTTTCCATTGGATCCTTGGGATTGAATCCCAAGAGAAATTAATTAAACAAAGTCAACCTTTAATTCTATAATTATAAAAAATTTTTTTTTTGTTAACAAGCGACTCGATCAAGAGCGTAAAACATAAACTCATATCTTTCATTAAAGTTCCTTGTCTTGATGTTTAAAATAAGGTCAATCAGTCCCACCTAAATAAAATTCCCTTTCCATTGGATCTTTGAGAAGGAATCCCAAGAGAAATTAATTAAACAAAATCAATCTTTAATTCTATAATTATAAAAAAATTTTTTTTTGTTAACAAGCGACTCGATCAAGAGCGTAAAACATAAACTCATATCTTTCATTAAAGTTCCTTGTCTTGATGTTTAAAATAAGGTCAATCAGTCCCACCTAAATAAAATTCCCTTTCCATTGGATCTTTGGGAAGGAATCCCAAGAGAAATTAATTAAACAAAGTCAACCTTTAATCCTATAATTATAAAAGTTTTTTTTTTTTTATTAACAAGCGACTCGATCAAGAACGTAAAACATAAACTCATATCTTTCATTAAAGTTCCTTGTCTTGATGTTTAAAATAAGGTCAATCAGTCCCACCCAAATAAAATTCCCTTTCCATTGGATCTTTGAGAAGGAATCCCAAGAGAAATAAATTAAACAAAGTCAACCTTTAATCCTATAATTATAAAAGTTTTTTTTTTTTTATTAACAAGCGACTCGATCAAGAACGTAAAACATAAACTCATATCTTTCATTAAAGTTCCTTGTCTTGATGTTTAAAATAAGGTCAATCAGTCCCACCCAAATAAAATTCCCTTTCCATTGGATCTTTGAGAAGGAATCCCAAGAGAAATTAATTAAACAAAGTCAACCTTTAATTCTATAATTATAAAAATTTTTTTTTTTGTTAACAAGCGACTCGATCAAGAGCGTAAAACAATAGCACTCCTCTTTCTCGTGCGTAGCCTTGTTTGCTCTTTAACATTTAGCTCTCCGCGCGAATTCTCGGTTCCAATCTGTGAACTGGGCAAGAGCAGCTGTTCTTAGTCTCTGAGAGGTATAAGGTCGCGCGATTGACACACGGTTCAGGGAATTTTCTCCCCAAACCCTCTTGATTCCGATCGTTGAATGAACGTCATACGTCGCGACGTAATTTCTTCTTACATGGGAGTTTCTTTTTTTTTTTTTTTTTTTTTTTTTTCAGAATAGTTCGGTGGTTCATCACACGAACATTTCCAACGAATGATGATTATTTTTTTATTTTATGAGAAGCACGGTCGCTAGAGAAATCTAAATCTTCTACTTTCTTCTGGAGGACTTTTTTCCCGGCCCTGTTTACTTTTAATAACCACCGTAAAAGATACGAGCTGATTAAAGCTGAGTGAAAAATAGAGGGGTTTAATTTTAAACCAATTTTTCGCCATAATTGAGGGGCTCGTAATGAAAATGACCTTTGTCCATATTTATCCTTTTCTAAAATGGCAAATAAATATTCCACATTGTAATTTTTTCTCAAGCAAGCATTCATTATATTGTATAATTTATAAGGTTATAATTAAGGCTTTACAAGATAGCTATAATTTTATCTAACAGGGCAGGAGAATCAACGTCTGATTGAATTATGAATTCGTGGAAATTAATTAATTCGTTCAGTTTTTTTTCTTCCTCCTAATCTCTCTTGCACAATAATATTAATTGACAATATTATCATAGATTAGATACAGACAATTTAAAATTTCTCATTTTCCGTCAAATTCTACTAATCAAACAATTAAATATTCTCCGGCAAAATTTCACCAAATTCATCAACGTCGTGAAAAACGTATTTATCAATTCCTCTCGAGAAATTTCGTTAATAATATTCGGTAGAATACGCCGGCCTTGGGCCCTGGTACATTTTCGCGAATATCGATAATTTCCAAGAGAAGCTGAGCGTATCGAGGCGTCGTGTCGCGTCGCAGTGAACATCGAGTGCTCTCGAACACGCTTTCGAATGTTTAAAGGCGACGTTTAGGAGTGGGAGGGCAAAAAGAACCGCGAAAATCCGCTTTTTCCTTCGGGAAGTTCTATTCAACGTCAGAGCGGTAAATTCGCGCTTTCGGAACAATCGGCGCGCGAATTTTTCCAAGCCCGCAACACTGCTCGCGTCCGAGCACCTTTTTCCTCGTTGCGCGACACAGCGTGGGTATTTCACTTTCTGTGCCGTAACACGTTGCAAAAAAATTAAAAGATCTCTTCTTACCAGATAACCAGATTTCTGATTTATTTGCACGTTTTTAGCTTCCTAGTCGTGACACGTGCACGGGCTCGTGCATTTCGTTTTATTTTTATTTGGCTGCATACTGTGGTGTAATCGAGCGTATGTTTGATAAATGCTTCGAGGCATGCCACGACACGCGCGACAGGAAGGAAAACGTACCGTAGTACATCATACATTTGAAACAAAGAAACGTCGGAGGAAACGTTGTAAATAATGTCCTCTGTCTTTCGGAAGAGAGGAACTAAAAAATTTAATTAATCTTGAAGTTTCTCTCACTCTTTCGAATATTCCAGAAAACATTAGATCCACGACATTAAATCTCCGTATCAATTAGCTGCGAAATATTAATTTCGCAATGTCGCGGCGTCGCTATCATATTTCGAGATACACGTGTTCCAATTAATATCTCAACTAATTAAACTAACGGTACCACGTACGTACACCTACACTCGTTAGTTCTTGTCGCTTGTTTCTCTAAAAAGAAAAGAAATAAAAAGAAAAGAAAAAAAAGAATTCTTATTTAACTCGGGAAGAGGGAGAAAAATAAATTTTGTCACGTCCGCTGAACTTTCGCGAAGATAATTGAGTCGCGGCGATACCTATATGCCGATGGCCATAAAGTTCGCCGGAAAGGTAAAGAAAATCGAACACGCTCGCATTCGTATTTAAAGCAGTGGCTCGAAACGGCGCGGCGCGGGGTGGCGGAGGGGCAGAAGAGCAAAGGGAACGCTGAAAGAAGGTTTGCCGATAAAGCTGGACGCTCTAGGATTCAATTTGATAGCGAGCGAGTGTCCGCGAATTACCGTGGCCCCATCCAGAATGCGCCCTCGTACGAAAACTCGGAATCGAGCATCGATACACGATCGATGCTCGCCCAGGAAATGCGCGATACGCTCTTCATTCTCGCGTGGCGTGCAAGCCGACTCTTTCATACGCGTGACAAGGGCCCTCGAACGACTATGAAAATCGGGAAAATCCTTCGCACTTTTTAACAACAAATAAAACGTCGGTCAACGACGTCGGAGATTCTCCGATCCCCCTCGAAACGGCTGCAATTCTCATCGATATTCTCCTCGCGTCGGTTTCACCGTGCAGATATTTCGAATGTGGAAACGTTTTTGCCACGACTGTGCTTCCTTGCACCGTAGCGAGGAAACGACATAGGATAGCTGTAAAATTGACGGACAGCTACGTTTCGAGTATCAAAACACGAGTAATTTGAAACATTTTTGAAGAGGTTAAAAGCATGATTCTTCTGTCAGAGTCGTACGATAGAAACTGCTCTTTTTTTTTTGTAGAAATATATTCTATTTCTACTTTCTGAAACTACTTCATTCAGAAGGAAACGTTTCTTGATTAAAATGCCAAGGAAAATCGAACAAAACGATATTATAATATGTAATATATCCTATTACAAATATTAGAAACTGCTCTTTCTTTTTTTGTAGAAATATATTCTATTTCTACTTTCTGAAACTACTTCATTCAAAAGGAAACGTTTCTTGATTAAAATGCCAAGGAAAATCGAATAAAACGATATTATAATATGTAATATATCCTATTACAAAGTCTATAAATTGTTTTTCAAAATTACAGGAACTTTTAATGACAATGATTAATATTTAATGATGTATGCTGTAAAAAAATTCGACGCAGTTTTCAAAAATTACGGAACTATTTTATCAAAAAGGAAATACGTTCCAATTAAAATGTCAAAGAAAAGCAGAACGATATTTAAAAGATTGTTCATTCAGAGATGAAATAGCTACTTCAATAATACATTTACATTTAAGAACGTTCAATCGTTCGAATAGGATGATTAATCTAAATTATAAAGGAAACGATTAGTTGATCGAAATATTGTATTCATGCAAGATTGCAATCAGACACACATACAGGAAAGTAATTGGAATTATTTACGAAAATTGTAATGATATAATAAATTGCAATTATACTCATTGTTAGTTTTCCACGTCTCTTAAGCTATAAATTCTATTGAAATAATTCGACGAAAGATGATTTAAATAAAAAATTCCAAGACGCCTGTTCAATATCTGAACTGCATTTGAATTGCAAAATTGCCTATATTACACATGGAATAACAACAAACTTCTATGTAGTGTATACGTAGTACATAAATATGTAATACACATACGATGAACGACAAAATTGATCGAAAGAATTTGATCGAAATTGCAACGAATATATGCAAGGGAAAAAATCAATCTTAATTAGGAAACTGTGGATTTTAATTTGAAAATACAAAAATGCACAGAATTCATAATAAAAGTAGAACGCTAACTACAATTTTTCCCCAATCAATCAATGAGATTATCTTTCCAATATCAAATACGATCTTTACAATCCACGATCCCGAGTAAAATAATTCTCAAAAGTTGTCGCATAATATCCCAAAGATTTCTCATCTTTATTTCATATTCTCGTCAGTATGCTAATATAATCGTGATACATATATATGCTATATTTTAAAGTACGAAGACACGGAGAATCTTCTCTCGACGAAGGACCGTTTTATTTCCCCCTTTTTCCCGTAGGACAAAACTTCCCCAGCTCGATCTTCCTCGTTATCAAAAATTCATCGCAGCTTCTCCGCGAGAAGCGAACGAGAAAGTGAGAAAGTGAAAACTTTCGACGAAACGGAATTGCCGAGCAATTAAGCTGATCTCGATACTTCTCGTCGTTTTCGATCACACTTCGGTTGTAACTAGTAGAAGTGGCGTGGTAAACAAACAGATCGATCTGCTTGGCGAACAGGTTACGAGAGAGTCGGTAAATTTCCGGCGACAACTGGGTATGCAAATCTTGACGATGTTCCGATCACGAATTAGCGACCCGATAGAGTCCGAAAACGACGTCTGCAAACGTTTACACGGGGGACAAGTGCCGTAAACGTTCGGTAACAAAGTTCATGCTAGCATTGCCGAACGCTCAAAGATTGCCGAGCAGTAGTTCGGTTCGAACGCAAACACCACCGCGATTCCCGTAAGTGCAATCCCCTTCCTGATTCTTCTCTGTCCATTTAAGGGCTCGTCATCGCCCCGTGGCCCAACACGTACACGTATGCAAATCGTAACTTCGTTCCTTTCCCTTCGTTACCCGCTCACTCGCTGCGGTTTCGCACGGATAAAAAGTTATGTTAACCCGCCGGGAGATTTGCATCGTACACAAGGGAGTTTGCATTCTCCTCTTTCGACGACGTGCCTTAATCCCACTTGGTTTCTACCGTAATATCAAGAACAACCGGTCGTATTCTAGCCGAGAACAGCACGTAACACTCAGATAACGGGGTAGAGCCACTCGTGGGTCTTAAATCGTCACCGTCGCCAACGATAATTCTTCGGTAGCTGAACGCGAGTCAACCGTAGGATAGGTCGCGTGGTGCATTTTCGCGGAAAGAAGGTTACGAGCTATCTATAATCAGCACGGAAGTTCCACAGCCATTTGTTGTTCGCATCCTGACGAGAAAATGCTTTGCTCGTCAAGCGCGAAACTGCTAACGGACCAAACATTTCCCAACTCGAGTACCAAAGAAACACGTCGTGTTCCCCTCCGCCCCCAAGTTTCCCTACCGCGAAGAAAAATCCGCACAGAAAATGGAATACTCTTCAAGAAGGATACCTCGGTGTCTCAAAATTTTTCCCAACTGTGAAACATTCGCGAATTTGGATCTATTTGGTCCGGTGAAATAGAATATTCGCAATAGAAAAAAAAAAAAAAAGAAAAAAGACTGAGTGATCGATACAGACAACGAGATGACGCGCGATCGAGAATCGATGAGACGGAATTCGAGGCGACGATAAATATTTTGGCGTGTTCTTGTTCAGAGAAGCGAGCGAGGAAAAAATTTTCGAAGGCGAAAACTCGTTTACAGATCAATCGGCGATTGGAAAATTTCTACCAGGGAAATCTTGTAGGGCAAGGCAATTCAGTTATCGGACAGACGGAAGAAATTGGCCTTAATCACGGGACCGGCGTTCTTAATCGGTATTTTCCTTTCGATGTTAGGGCTACGCACCTAGAGATTGAATTCCATATGCAAACGAGATTACGGAATTATTCCAACTACTCGGATCTGTTTGTTCTTTGTTTGATCATGAATTCTTCAGATTTAATTGGAAGGCTCGATCTTTTCTTATCGATTCATCGTATGCAACGAATCAACATTCCGTGACAAGTCAATTTTCCTAAATCTTCTCTAAAACTTGGAAGAAAGATTGAAAAGTAGGAAATACATACGAAGTACTCAAGGACGGATGATGAACATTTAATTCCGTTGTTTAAAACTTGAAGAAAAACTCGATAAAAATAAGAGACATCTTCATCAAGTATTTGTAATTAATAAATTTCTTTCTTGATTCCTCTCTTTTAAGATTAAAATTGTTTAAGTAAAATGTTTACTTAAATATTGAATACACGTAAGAGAACGAGCATCGTAAACTGAACGTACACGGGAAGAAAGGAAAGAAAAACGACTCACCGTTCCCGAAAATGATGGCCAGAACTCCGTAATGAAAGAACAGGACCAAAGGCGACATGGAATTGATAGACCACTTAAACGCGAGACCGCCTGTCCTCGACTGATGTCCGATGCTTTTCAACCACCGTGCAATTTCGACCCTGAATCCCGCGCTACCCCTACCACCGCCACGTCCATTCCCGAGGAAATTCGCGCAGGCGTTTCAAACAATGCAGACATGAATGTTAAACAAACTGGCTGCTTGTACAAGGTTGGAACCATGCTGGTCTCTCTCATGCGTTCGCACTCGAACCTCCCAAACTTCCGTCGATTATATATTTCGTTCGATCAGCAGACCGCAATTAACCGCGATGATGAAATTAAACGGGGCATTCGTTGGTCGAAATTACACAGCCATTCTCTATCAGCTCCACGACCAATTTAGCCTCGATATCAATCCTGTCGTATTATTGCAGGAATTAGAATAAAAATCGGATTTTCATTGAAATCGGAATTAACCCTGTTGCGTTCTTTGGAATTTCAATTTGTGTGTTTTTAACGAATACTTCAATTCTCGAAAGCTATTATCAATGGAAATTTGCGTATGAAATCTCATCCCTCGATATATATTTCCTTAATGAAATGAAACGTTCTGTCGTTCAAATGTGGAAATTTCTCAAAACGTAGTAAAATGATTGTTAGACTAAACTACCGTGTTAAAATTTTTGTAAGATACTAAGAAATTGTTTTGCCGAATTAAGTCAAAGATCTTGAAATATAAAAATTCAAGAATCGCAACAGAGTCAAAGGGAATTTGAAAAGATACTTTCCTCTTGTGTTTCAAGATTCTATCGACGATAGTTTTTGAAAGAAAAATATTGTTGAAATTTCGCAACATAAAACGGAACGTGTCCATGCTCTTTTGTTATCCATTGATTCTCGCATGTCAGTTGGGCACGCTTTCCAAATTGACAGGTAAACCTTCAGTATCGCTTCAGATCGTATTTTAATCTGCGAATTTTATCATTCGATAAAATCCGATCGACGATATCGTGGAAAATTGTTTGTCACATTTCTCGATGCATTGTTCGAACTGTCTTTCATAGGCGCGAGTTCGATGCGATGACAATGTGTTTCTTCAAAATGTCTGAAAGATGGATACAAAGAAAAGTCAATGCTTAAAGTATGACGGAGATGTAACAGTTGATAGTAAACACTGTCCTAAATGTTCAACCTCGCTCGATTTTCTCAAAATGTCGAGCTCGGTCGGAAGCAAGGCCAAGCAGGAGTTGACCAAGGTTCCCGGAAAACCAATGGAAACCAATTATGTAACGCAAATTGTGTCCAGTGGAATTCGACCAGACAACGTTTACGAGGTTTAAATATGCCATTCGTAAAATTAGAATTTTTAAATCAATTGAAATTAAATTAAATCAACGACACATTTATCAATATGGTGTTATAGACGAAAATATTGTTGGGACCAGAAGTAGACTTGTCTTCAATTAAAATAACAGTAAAGGGAAATAATCTTCGCGTAAACATGTCGAAGCCTTTAGAGGAACAATTCGCGAAACAGTTGCCAGATATCAGCGAGAGATCAATTTTTGGCAATTTGATCAAAAGAATTATGAAACATTGCGAGAATTTATTAATACCAGAAGGTATCGATAACGCGAAGGTTCGAGCCATTGTGGACAATGTAAACAGGATGCTCGTGCTCACGGCTCCTCCTGCAATAAAATCTAGCAAAACGAAAAAATAAATTGGGAAGGAAGTTGTGGAGGAAGTTTAGATAATTTACCTTTCTCTTATGAAGCTATGAGCAATCGAAGTGACAAATTCGACAAGATAAAAGACGAGCGTTCGATGTTGATATTTCTGTTAACTTCGTGTAACTAACCAGTGAAAAATGATTTAGATCAAATTTTCGTAACTTCTTACATACGTTAGACGACTATGGATAAACTACCGCATCATTGTCGAGAAAACTCAGTCACCTTAAAGCAAAATGATTATATGAACTTTGAGATGATGAATGGGCATAAGATGAGCTTCAATTTCGTAAAGATTCCGAACTTTTACGTTCTTGATGATAAAGAATATTACGCTGTATGCCTGTTTTAAATGGTTCAACCGATGTACTTGTTAATGTGTCATTACCCACTTACAGGCAGAAATGAAGATAGAAGGATTAAAAGTAGGAACAGCAACACTAGCTACTGAAAATATGTTGAACATAAAATTGCATAGTTCAGAAGAAATATCGAATGTTAGAAACATAAACTTCTTAATACCGCCTGAAGCAGATGCGAAAGAAGTATCGATTGAAATAGTTAATGATACGATTCTTATGCGTGCTCCTGTTAGAAAGAAACATATATAGTATTACATGCACTTGTATATCATGTATATATAATATATTGTTTATATATCTTTACCTAAAGAAATAAAAGAGCATCAAAGGTAGGAGATATGTGTAAAGTTGTATCAATTACAAAATTCATGTTTTTGTAGTTGTTTTCCCACATTTTATTTGACAAAATTCATGGGTCAGCAACAAGCGTTGATAAAAATTTATTTACTTCTTAGCAGCAGTTTCCTTTTCAGTAGTACTTTTCGTCACAATTTTTTCAGTTGGCTTTGTAGGCTTCGCGGATTTAGTTGCAGTAACAGGTGTTGCTGCCTTCTTTCCGCTCGTCACTTTCTTCGGTTTCGCTGCTCTCGCAGCCAAGATTTGTTTCCTGCGTCTTTCCAGGAGTAACTTGGTCTTCACAGCAGGTATATTCTTTGGCAGTTTTACCTACAAATATGAAATATTTTCGTCAAAATCTAAACACGTTAAACGAGTATTATTCAATATTGAAAAGTAAACTTACTCCGCGTTTCTCCGCTAGAAGAAGCTCCCTTTCTTGCTGACGTTTCTTCGCCGTCAAAACTGCTGCACGTTTCAGAACAGCTGCATATGGATTGAGACGTAACATAGCACGCGTGTTGGTCAATGGATTCAATTTCTTGACTCGGCGGATCACCTTTTTCCTGGGAATTTAAAATTTATTTTTAATACATCATAAATTATGTGACAATGAAAAATTTATAAAGATTATTCATCAGATATGGTTAATATTGTATCACTTTCAATCAAAAACACGGACCATGGAATTTCATCACAAATAAGATAAATAGATCGCCGAAAGTATATAATAAAATATAAATCCACAAACCTTGGTGCTCTCAGAACTTTACGAATTTCTTCAGATTTCAAAAGTCTCGATAAATCCGTATTCGCCATTTTCGGATAAGGTAAGTTGTAGTCGGCCTTAAGTTTCGATTCCTTTCGCCAGGTTCCGTAAAGATCATCTAATTTTTCGAAAGCCGATTTTGTCCAGATTACGAAACGCCCAACGTGACCACCAGGTGCCAATTTAAGCAGATTCATTTTATTAATATTCATAAGATCGACACCAGGAATGTTACGGAACGCCTTACGAATGCCCTAAAGGATAATATGTTAAAAATCAATATTAACATCTTAAATTTGAAAAAATAACTGACAATCGTTTCATATACCTGGTCTTGACCATATACGATCAGAGGTCCGCGACGTTGAATGCGTCTACGATTACGCATTTTACCTTTGCCAGCACGGAAACGTTGTGACTTGTAAACCTATTAACAAAATGTACATTATTTTCTCGTAAATCAATAGATACCAATTTAATCTGTTTGGTTAAAAAACACCCCATTCTAGCAATTAATTCAGCTAGTTTAGAACGCCAAATAACCATATTTATCTAGCACCTAATAGGAACATCTAAATTAAAATAGTTTTAATGAAGATGTGGACATTTTGTGATGCACATATATATAATACAATTTCCAAAAGTATACTTACTTTTTGAATATCATTCCATGCCTTGATACGTCTCAAAAAGATTACAGCTTGTTTGGTTTTGTTGTATTCTTGAATATTATCTGATACTACCAATGGAAATTCTGGAACTTCCTGAATCATATGACCTAAATATAAAAAACGAATACTATAAATATTGTCCCATTCACACAAATACGTACAGTAGATCATTTATGTAAATCAGAAACAAAAAATGATATAATCAACGTCAATTCAGCAACACGGACCATAATGGTTCATCATAAATAAATAATTGCAAAGATATTACTTTATCCTAGAAAATACTACTTACCTTTGGACTGTACAAGTGCTGGAACGCCGGATGCAGCAATAGCAGAAACCAGAGCATATCTTTTCTGGTTGACATTAATTCGACGATGCCAGCGTCTCCAAGGCTTTGTTGGTGCAAACATGCGTCCACCTCTGCACATATTTCCAAACGCACCTTGGCCAGAGCGGTGGGTACCACCTCCACGTACACGAGGTATACGTGCTACAGCACGTCCAGTACCCCATGATTCTGCAGAGGTTTGGTGGCCTAACAAAACAAATCTATATTTAATAAGTGGATATTAGTTCTTTAAAAGATAAAAAAAAAATTAATACAAAACAGTATACACTAACCGGCTTCCTTGGATACGCAGTATGGTTGCCGGCTGTTTTTAGAAACTTGATCATGTACAAAACTGACTATGTCAGGACGAATCGGTGCCCTAAAAATAGCAGGCAGAGAAACTGTTTCGCCTGATGCTTCATTTTTATCCTTATATATAGTAATCAATGGTCGCGCCGTTGATAACGACTGTAAAATACAAAAAAAGAAATTAGAAAATAAAATACAAATCTATTTATAATAGTCAATTTATAATATAATGAGATTAAAAAAAATCTTTACAAAAAAGCAAAGTAAAATTTCATGTTGTGACGGAACTACAAACGACTTCCATTGATTTCACACATGGCGGACTCAAAACTGGAAATCACGATGTTTAATGAGAACATCTGTACGCAATGAAACTATTTGATTGATGCTTAATAGAAAATTGCAAAAGAAAATATATAACTATCGTAAGATATGGTATATTTATACATGTACTAAAATCAAGCTAATTTACTTTGTACACTACAAATCATTACACGTGGTCAACTGTGCGATGTGTACAATTCCAAGTTTGGAAAGAAATTTTTAGGAATTATTAGAAACTATAGCAATGAAATGATATAAAATAGTAATACTTAATAAATTTCGAATAAAATACGTTTCTTACCATTTCGTAGTCTACTTTTCACGTACCACACATTAACCGACCAGCCAGCTTGTACGCCGTAACTGGTTGTAAAGGAAGAAGAACGGAAGTGGAAATTGCAGTCTAAATGTTGCGCATGCTCAGAAACGTTCTTAAGTCCTATTTACAACTACATATATTGTATTCTTTTTCTAAATATCTATGAATAACAAAATTAATATGCTGAAATAATAAAAAGTTTACTTCATTAGTTATGCTTTCATTTAATTATTAAAATTTATCATTTGTGTTTTCATAGTCATTTATTAATTTAGTTCAATAGGAAATTCCTGATTGGTTAAAGATGCATTTCTAAATAAAACTTTTTTGGTTGGAAATACGTCATACGAAATTTAAATTTTTTTGGATAACTAAAGTTGAATATTGACGTTTAGAGGTGTTTACTTCAAGTAAGTTTAATTCAAGTCTTTTAATGGCAGGAGAAGTTATAGTTGATGCACTACCATATATTGACCAAGGATACGATGAACCTGGAGTTAGAGAAGCAGTAAGTAACAGCTTTTTGTTACATATAACAATCCAGTATAAATTGATTTTTAGGTTATATTGTTTATACTTTCATATCAAGTAATTCGACAATTAAATATTTCAGGCTTTGGCCATGGTTGAAGAAGAAACCCGACGTTATAGGCCTACAAAGAATTATTTGGAGCACTTGCCACCGTTACATATTACTGCTTTTGAAACAGAGGTGATGAAACATGAGTTTGAGCGAATGCAAAATCGTTTACCAATGGAAGTGCTTAGTATGAAACGCTACGAGTTACCTCCACCTCCGCCAGGTAAAATGAACGATCTTGCAGCATGGAATGAAAGCGTAAAAAATAGCAGTGCACAATTGGAACATCAGGCTACGAGGTAAATAATATCATTGTTATTTTAATTTTTCGAGTATTTTTTCTTATTATTCGTATAATTATGAAAGTGAGGACACAATATTAATTGATGTATTATTGCAATATATAATGATGCAGAATCTGTAATCTTGAGTTAATGATGGAATATGGTTGCGAAGCATGGAAGTCTTATTTAGAAATATTGGTGCAACTAGTGAGTCAAGCCCAAAAACAGCTACAAGCATTAAGGAAAAAAATTCAGGAGGTCAATTGGCAAAGAAAATCTATGCAAACTCAAGGAGGGGAGAAATTACGGGCATTAGAGGCACAGTGGGTAGGACTTGTATCGAAGAATTACGAGATTGAACAAGCATGTGTTCATTTGGAAGAGGAAATACAAAAGTCTATGATGAACAAGGGAGAGGGTGTAGAAATTAATGACGTACCAGGAGAGGAGGAACCTGACGTTCCGGAGAAAAGTGCAACAGAGGTTATGGCAACAGAAATGGATCAACAAGAACAAGAAAATCAAGAACCTTAAAAAATGTATAAAATTGTGAATAATAATCATATTTTGTATTATTGTAGTCATTAAATGCATTATTTAAATATATTACTTATATTTATAAATCGTCCATGAATTATTGACTCTATCCTTCGGTTCGTCATTTTCGAAATAGGTTATGTTACATAAAAGTATACGTAACGCATTGCGGAGTAGAAGTCTTCCTTTTTTATAAATTATTTTTTGAATAAGAACACTAACATACGCCAAAAGCTGAATTTGAGCAATGTATAAGAACAGTAAAAGATAATTTATTAAAAATTAGCTGTTAATATTTCGTTATTGGTGTTGAAATATCATTGAACAGTTAACAGGTTAGTATTTTAACACGACATAAGACACAGTTAAAATATTTTAGATATTAAAGAGATTGATATGAAATTTGAATTATACTTGATTTTACAGATAATTGATAAAATGTATGGTATGTCGTGGTTTCGCTATATTTCTCTTTGGACATTGTCATTTATTTCCACGGCATGTGGTTCGCAAGCTGTACATTTAATATACAGACCGCTCGACGATTTGGATGACTTGATAGAAGAGGCATTTCAAAATCGACTGTTAGAATTACAAAATCAAAAGTAATTATATAGTTGTAGTATATTTAAATAAATTCATTTTATGGAGCAACAATTCTAAGTTTTTCAGTGATTCATCTTTTAACGTGGGACAAGGAGATAAATCAGTAAAGGGAAATAATCGAAAACTGGATTAGCAACTTAAGTTGCGTTCAAATTCATAATCGCAATACAAGATTTTAATAAAGCACAATTTATTTCATCATAGTTTACACATATCACGCTTTTCTTTAATGCTGAAAATGTACATATTTACAAGATGAATATCATCGTCTATAAATGACATATAGTATCATGTAACAATTATTTATAATTCACAGTATACTTGGAGGACTTTCTTAAATAGTTTGCTTGCATTGACATATCAGTAGCGCATTTCTGTGTAAGCCTTGTAATTCGTTAGGATAGCTACTAACTCGTATCTTTTTTTTTTCTTTTTTTTACTTTATATAATTACAAAAGCGAATAATTAAGCATTATTCTTGGGGCAACTATTCGTGTAGAAAAATACGTAAATTTTATCTCCGTTTCGATCGTTTTGTGACAACAGCAGGGGTTGTCAAAAACACTTCGTGGAGCTCGTGCCGATCGATCTCGATTAATCGCTAAATTGTCATAATGATGTCTCGCTGGCGCCAGAACTCTGCGATTGTAGTGGTAAACTTGTTTTATATCCTGTCGACTCTTCCTCTAGTAATGCTATCCGTTGTTTTAGAGATTTTACCTATAAATCAATCATACGTGTAAAAAAAGAAAAAAAAAAATGAAAGATTGTAACTAGTTACAACCACTAAATTTCGACAAGGATGATAAAATGCAACTGCGCAGAATCAGCTCGGTATTGAAAGTACAAGATGGCGACAGTCATATTGCAGAAGCGGCAGCGTGTGGTGTACTGTAAAAATGTCGATCTTACCACAATTTAACATAAAGAGGAAGATACGGAGACTTTTACATAAAATGCCTGGGAAAGCGCTAGGAGAATTCCGATTTTTACCCATATTTTTTGTTATGGGCGGTCTATTAGAATTCGTTATGATAAACTGGCATGTCGGAGAGGTTAACTTTTACAAAACGTATAAAAGAAGAAGAATAGAAGAAGCAGTCGAAAAAAGACTGATGGAAATAAATAGAGAAAATAATGCCCAAATAAATGCGTAAATATCGTTGCAAATAATTAATAGCAAATTAATGAACAAAGTTGGTACTTATAAGTGTTTGCGATAGCAAAGTTTGTAAATACAATGTTGTAACAATGTTTCTTTTTCACAGCTCTTAGTAATGCTTTATACTTTTATGAAGACTGATGTAATTTATGAAGATGCAAAAGGTGTAATTTATGCAAAAGACATGTACAAAGTGTAATAAATTGTTTCACAAATGTATGAACACAAATATCTAGCAATTCTTCTTAATTTCCTTCATATCGCACATCACATTTATGCTTGTTCATACCTGAGCAGCATGTCTTTCCACCATGCCCAACATTTGCTGTTCCAATTTTTTCAATCTGGATTGATACTTTTTCTTAGACTTCTCTAAAGTTTGTACCAGCGCTCTAGAAACAAAGTCGAAACAAGATTATTCAATCTTCCATTAATCTAAATCTTTATTCTTAACTTAATTACCCATTGGCTCTTTTCAAATCGTTGACAAGCTCGGCTGACTGTTGATGTCTTAGTTCAGAATTTTTGTTAACTTTATCTAAAGTGGATACTAATTCTTGTAGACGTTCCTTTAGCCTAGCCTCTCGACCTAAAGCCTCTATTAACTCAGATTCCATGCCCTCGCTTTCGTTATCGCTTAAACCCCGATCCTACGCATAATGTACATATCATTAGCTCTCTTTTTCGGGAGAGATTTTCATTTCAAATAATTATTGCGTTTTTACTTTATTTGTAGCCATAGCCAGCATGGCTTCCGTATCGCTGAGTTGCCCCTGAAGATGCTCAATAGCAGCGTGCTGAGCTGCGATTTGCGTATCACGTGCGTTCAATTTCAACTCTATGGTAGCCCGTTCCTTTTCCAACAGGAAAACCCGTGCCCGCAGCTCTGCCTTGTCCTCTCTCATTGCCATCAATTCCTACGCGATCGTTAAATTGACTACATTTGTTCTTGGAACATGCGAGAATTCGAAGTTAATCATCGCGATGTACGAACCTGCATTAGTACAGCTGTCTCTAAATCTAATTTCCGAGCTTCGGCGAGGGAAATAGTGTTCTTCGAATTTAATGGCTCGACGTGAACGCTTTCTAACTCCACTACAGTCGATCTGACCATGGCTCGTTCTCCTTTCAGTCTACTGATGTGTCTTCTGAGTCGTTGTTCGTCTTCCACACACCAAGCTACCTCAGACCTGAACATGCCAGATCGTTAAAAAAAAAAAAAAAAAAAAAAATTACAAGTTCATCGACGTTTGCAGTGTACTTACTCGTCCGACAAAACTATGCTATCTTCCCACGGCGCGTTTAGAGTATTCATACACTCATTCTCCAATTTATTCAGCACGTGATAGGCTACGTGTTCAGCTGCTCTTCTGTTATCGATCGTGATGCTGTTTCTCTCTGTTGACAGAGCGATCTCGCTTTCTAATAACGCTACCAGGACGTCGTAAGCCTCTATTGCACGATCACTGTAGGAAAGCGCTAATCGTAACGCGGTTGCATTCGACTCGTACTTTCCAACCAGGAGACTCAATCTAAAATGGACAAACACTCATACGTATTTTTCATACATTTGTACAGAAGATGCAAGTAATATAGCGAATTCAAAAATCTAAAATATGGAAATACCTATCACATTGCGCCTTACTCTCGTGCAGAGTCAACGCAAGAACAGCGTTGTTTGCTCGCGCATGTTCCAACCTACTGTTCAACCTTTCCGTTTCCACCTCGAATTGTTTCTCGGATCCATTTAGTTCTTGAAGATTCGAGTGTTCCAAAAGATCTGAGACCAGATGCTCAGCTACCATCGTAGAGCATACCTGTTTAAATAACCAATAAACTATTAAATGGAAATAGGCATATGTATTACATAAAAGACATAACTTTTGTCTTTATAGGTTTTATAAACTTTCAATCCATCAATACCGTAATAATTTTTGTTTTAAAATTTCGATCGATCAATCCTTTTCTTAGATAGACCCAGATCCTTTACCATTTCTCGTACGATACTAACAGACGTTCTAGTATTTAGAAACGGGATTATATTCGATTGCTCTGAACGAACGTATTCACCAGAAAACAGAAAGCACGAACAACGAGCGACGATAACGTACCCCCAGGTTGGTAATATCGGGTCCTGTGATGTGCCTCTCGTCGGTTCTCCTGAGTCTTACCCTCTCGGCTATTTTAAGAACCGGAGCTTCCTCCCTCGTTACGTTCTTTGTCGGCGGTGTCTGCAGGGGTGGCAAGAGTGGCGAGCAAGGTGCACTCAAAGGTTCCGGCGAACTGGTGTTGCCTCTTGTCTGCGGAAATCAAAGGAGCACGAGGAAAACATTACAGTCAGAAGGGTTGATAAATATTTTTGTGAAAGTGTTGGCTGATCAAAGGCTGGCCAAAGCACCCGGGGTAACGGTGCAAAAAATTCGTTCGACATTCAACGGTTCGTTCCAAAGTGGGGAGGAGAGAGTGCATTTCGGGTGCGTCGAGATGAAAAGAACGATCTCCTTTTCACGGACGGAAACTGCTCGAGTCTTTCTTTCTTTCTTTCTTTTTTTCTTTTTTTTTTTTTTTTGCGAAACTGTATCGCCACGTAACACCGTTTCTTTAGATCGTAGAGTATCGTGACCGTATCGAGGGTGCGTGTACGATGAAACACGTCACAATGCGAGGTCAAAATGTGCTACCCACTCCTCTACGAGGTGACTCGCTGCCAGCCTGTTGCCTCTGATTGCCAGCCTGATTCTTGAAATTCACCAATTGAGCCTGCAAGCTTGCGATCTCCGCTCGGAGGGCTGTGACCTCTTCTTGCAGCGCTGCCACGGCCACGCTTTGGCACGAGGCCGCCTGCTGCGTCGGCTCCGGTGTTGGTAACGCCGCCGGACTGTCTAACTGCTCTCTCCCATTCTGCCGATGAAAACAATTACTTGTGATCGACCTATCTACAATATCACGCTTACCGAACGATTACGAGGATTCGTCGAAGCAAAGAAACTTCCGAAACTCGACCTCGTATGATAAATTGCAAAGTTTTCAAGTTCTCTGCGCCTCGCTTGCAGAGTTTCGAACGCATTTCTGGGATTTTCGAGGCGATTGTTCGTCGAAGCAGCTCGTGATCGTTTCACAGATATACCTCGGCAGTGCGTGGCTCGATGTCCTCGCAGCAGCTGGAATCCGCATCGCCGAGTGTACGATCCCCGTCACCCTGAATGTCACCTCCGCCTTCGCTCTCCTCGACCGGGTTCGTGATCGATCCTTCCGCGTCTCTGCTCGTCTCGATTTCTACATTGACGCAGAAAAACATGAAAAGAATTACGCGACTTCGACTCGAGCGTCCAAGACATTAAACGACATGTCCTCTTCAAAATGAAAATTTTCTATTTCACTTTCAGTTTAATTACATTGTCGACCGATACCTACAAAATCACTCTTCCGTTTTTTGGAACATTTATTCTTTAGACTGACGTCCATCGATCGAGACAGGACCGAGCTGCCTTAAATCTCTCTTTAATAAAACACATTTCTAATGAAGCACATTGTGCGAAAATTAAATCTCTCTTTAATAAAACACATTTCTAATAAAACACATTGTGCGAAACAGATGCACATTATGGCATAGATGCATCGATCAAGTTCACAACGAAAACGGAGACTCTAGCTTCCAAAAATAATAAAAGATTCTCTATTCGCGAGAGAGGGGGACGGGGGGTTTTTGCAAGAGGGTTCGCAGCGGGAGGAACGCGTTGAAACATCAAACAGCCTCGGTCGATAAATCTCTCAGTCGGAAGGGGGCAGAGGTGCCCAGATTTACGGAATCGGTCCTCTCTCTTACCAGACTCATCCTCCTCGGCAATTACAGTAGCCCGATGCCTCTCGAGCTGCCTGCCGAGCTCGGCGATCACGGAATGCAACTCGGTCAGCCTCTCCTCGTGTCTCGCAGCTTGCTGCTCTGCTCTCTGTTCCGCTCGTGCGGCCTGCACCTCCGCGCGGACCAGAGCCGCCTCGGTCGCCTCCCTGGCTCGTGTCGCCGCCAACAGCCTTGAATTCAGCTCCGCGACCTCGGACCGCAACGATGATAGCGCGGCCGCGTGCAGCTGTAACAGAGCCGGCGATCCTTCGATCAATCTATTCATTCGTCTTTCCGATTTTCCTGTTCGAAAGTTTGTTCGAGGGCGTGTTACGAGGTTGGAAACTGAGCGTTTGAAAAGAGGATGGGATTGCCAGCGTGTATAGGACTTGCGAAAATGCTCGAGCATTTCTGGACACATTTCATGAATATGTTATACTTTGAAATTTCACTAGCGCAATTAGAAGTGCATGTACATTTTTTTTGTATGTAGAATGTACATGAAATTCTAGAAATGTATATAGAAGTTATAAATATTCGTAGAAATTGTAAAAGTATTAATTATATTAAGAAACGTCAATATTCACTGGCTAGTAAGCATACAGTCGCTGTATAGTAGAACGAGTGACGATGTGTCAGCCAGTAGGATACATTTTCTAAAGCACTCAATGCTTTATGTAATGCTTTATGTAATGCAATAATTTAGATAATTTTAATTATGTCTATTAAAAAAAAATAGATGGATGATATGCAATCTGAAATTGAAATCTGAGTAAATATACGTGGATGAACTAATATCAAAAGGTTTCAAGATTTATTTAGAAAAAAAAAAATAAATTTAAAAATCGATGCTTAAAATAATAGATTCTTAATGTTTTATTTCAAAACTTCTTATCGATTACTTTTTTAAAAATATTTTATGAAAAATAGTGAATCGATAAAAATCTCAAGGAGACTCGATCAGGATTAATAGCTACAAGACTGACATTTTAATTTGAAAGTTTCCACGTTTCTGATCTCGTGACGCAACCAATCTCGGTCATGGTTCTATTTGCAAGATAAACGCGTAAATTCCTTCATAGATTGCAGACTATATTTTGGAAGGCTACCGTGTGATAGTCTTTAATCAATCTCTTGCATCGATCAACCTTGCTTGTCCTGGTTACGACGAATTGCAATATATTACGCAATTCTGATGAATCTTAGTCAAGGAAACAATTACTTGATTAACTTTACGTTTCATCGAGGTCAACCATGCAATCATTCGCCACGCAATTAACTCAATCAAATACACGAGAAATCATTCTTGGCAATCGTTCAGAGTGAGCAACAAAATTCTATTTCCAATTACCAGAAAACCTGCACCAAAGAATCAAAACATGAATTCA